AAGCCCTGGTAGAGCCTACAGACAGGGGACCTGGGCATACTTCCACTTGCCTTCTCCAAACTTTTGTGTGCCTGTTGGGTGGAAGGTACTATGCTGGAGCCATCCAGAATCCAGAACAGTGTAAGACGTCATGGCCTGCATGGTGTGACCCTTGACTTCTGAAAAAGAAGGAACTGGTAGAGTGGGAAGGAGACAAGGGGCAGTAGAGCTGACATCATCAGGACTGACTGCAGTACAAGCGGTGAAAGGAGCCACTGAGGAGTTACCCCAGTCCCCTGGGGAGCTTAGATGTGAGATTCACACCAGCCAGCACTCCCCAGCTCTGTGTCCCTGGGTCCCACTGAACTTGATTGCATTTTAGTTGCCTCTTTTCTAAGACTGGCGCAACAATACCTTCCTTGAATGTGCATGTGCAGTCCATAGATGGTAGCTAGTGTTCTCTTCCCATGAGAAGACTCTGAGCCTCCTCACTAGAGGGTGATCTAAAAACAAATGTATCCATCCACAGAAGGTCAGAAAGGTTTTCATAGAATCTTGACTTGGTAGCTCTTCAGGATCTAACTCGTACTTTCCAGAAGTGTGGCCTGTGGTGTTCTGTCTGGGGTACTTGGTCCTCCCATCCACCTCCACCTTGCTGTCCTGTCCTGTGACTCTCACTAGCTCAGTCCCGGGGTCAGGAAGCCCTGCCATGAAATGCTAGATTTGCAGGCATTGCCAAGGTTTGCGTGTTCCAGGCATGGAGAGAAGAATGGGAAGATTGATGAGGATCAAGCCCTGGTAGAGCCTACAGACAGGGTCCCTGGACATACTTCCACTTGCCTTGGGTATGGTTTGTGAACCAATTCCCAACCAGTGAATCAACGATTGGTCAAGTGTGGCTGCTATGCCTCCTAGCCCCACCTCCTTAGGGACCTCACTGGTCCAGCAGCTAAGCCTGGCACCCTTCATACTCAAACTATACTCAAACAAGGTCATAATAGACTAATGATCTAACTGTGACTAACAGGTTCATGTGATTTAAAGAAAGACAGCATTTTTTCTAAATTTCTAAATTCTGCTAAATACAAATCTGAATGTGTTTACCTTTAGACAGATTTTCCTAGAAAATTGTCAGTGTTCTCACATTTGAAAGTAGATCAGATCTCCTCCCTCTAGTTTTGAAAATCTCATGTAGGTTTAGCCTCTCCCCAGAGTGACAACGACACAAGAAGTTTATAATTTTATGCACAGCTAAATGCATACTGAAAAGTGTGGTTTGTGGGTATTTCATTTTTCCCATAATGTTCATCAATTTGGTGATTCAAATAGGATTCAGAATCCTAGGTGTTCACAGCATTTTATATGAAAATGTGCATGAGAGTTTGGGGAATAGAAATTCCTACCAAATAAGTTAAATTTACTCTTGATAAGAATATATTTTGTAAAATGTAGAAAACTGAGAAAAGAGTTTAATACCTATTTTATCTGCACCCTTTTATTAAACAATGGCCTGAATTTACTAAAGGAAAGAGAACAAGGTTGAGAGGTAATCACTGAATAATAGCTTCGCTAATCCCACAGTGACTGCTTCTTATGACAAGCAAGAGGGTCACCTTAGAGGCAGGACTGTCTTCAGGGGCAAAGGCAAGTCAGCACCTGCAAACCTCTCAAAGTGAGTGAGTAAAAGCAGGTCGTATGGCTCATTTTGCAGCTTGCCAGAAGCAATGTGGGAATATCGTCAGACTGCACAGCCCCTGGGGCTAGCTGGCTCCTGGAGTGCGAGGAGCTCTCAGTTACTGCTGTGCATACTCACCGACTCTGTGACTTTGTTCAGTCCCTACCCTGGATGTGCGGTGAAGGGTGCCAGGCTTAGCTGCTGGACCAGTGAGGTCCCTAAGGAGGTGGGGCTAGGAGGCGTAGCGGCCGCACTTGACCAATCGTTGATTCACTGGTTGGGAATTGGTTCACTGAGGGGACACCATTACTCCCCATGCCTCACGTGCAGGTGAGTGTGTGTATATTTGCATTAACACACAAACACACTTATGTGTGTCCCTGTGTGTGCAGCTGCAGTACCTTACACACCTTCCAGTGCCTCTCAAGCATCATAAAAACAGCTTCCATAAAACCTCTACTGCCCACCTGGCATCCACAGAGCTCCCAGTGAATGGCTCCCACAAGATACTGAACATTAGCGTGGAACAGAGTGAGTTTCCACATGTGCTGTTGTATGTAATTACCTGTCCAGCTAGAATAGTACACACTTCTTTTACTGAGCCCTAAGCTTGTATGCATGAACGGGGATGGTACAGGAACAAGGGTGAGCACTTATCAATTCAGCATTACTCTGGAGACATGAAACAAACTAATAGGTACAGCTATATATATATTTTTAAACAATTTTGTGATTTTTAGGGAACCACATATTTGGGACACAAAACAAGTAAATTTGAATTACACTAGGCAAAGGACTGATTCTTTTGAAACGTGATTGACATTCAATGTCTAACTTTCCAAAAGAAGACATACATGTGGCCCACAATCATATGAAATAAAGCTCAACATCACTGATCATTAGAGAAATGCAAATCAAAACCACAATGAGATACCATCTCACACCAGTCAGAATGGTTATTAATAAAAAGTCAAAGAATAACAGTTGCTGGTGAGGTTGTAGAGAAAAAGGAACGCTTATACACTGTTGATGGGATTGTAAATTAGTTCAACCATGTGGAAGACAGTGTGGCAATTCCTCAAAGACCTATATACCATTTGACTCAGCATCCCATTACTGCATATATACCCAAAGGAATATGAATCGTTCTACTCTAAGATTCATGCACCCATATGTTTGTTGCAGCACTATTCACAATAGCAAAAACATGGAATCAACCTACATGTCCATCAACAATAGACTGGATTAAGAAAATGTGGTACATATACACCATGGAATAGTATGCAGCCATAAAAAATGAATGAGATCATGCCCTTTGCAGGAACATGGATGGAGCTGGAGATCATTATCCTTAGCAAACTAACCCAGGAACTGAAAACCAAGTACAGATGTTCTCACTTTTAAGTGTGAGCTAAATGAGGAGAATACATGGGCACATAGAGGGGCCTATCAGAGGGTGGAGGGTGGGAGAAGAAAGAGGATCAGGAAAAATAATAGGTAGTAGATTTAATATCTGGATGACAAAACAATCTGTATAACAAACCCCCATGACATGAGTTTACCAGTATAACACACCTGCACATGTACTCCTGAACTTAAAAGTTAAATTTAAAAATATATATATTTAATGTCTAATAATATATTACAGTATTCTTCATATTCAATGGCAATGTGTGAAGTGGGAAGTGTCTTGACTGAATTCGGTATTTCGGGGCTTACACTTTGACTACCCAAGACTGCACAAGGCTACATTTTCCACTGGTGAGACAAATTTGAGACACATTGCATTCAGATCTAATCTCTTAGTTCCTTAATCTTCAGTGTACCAGTAAACATGAAGACCTCCCTAGTGCTGTAGTCATCATCATATGTACAAAGGTGGCTGAGCTCTGACTGTAGAGCTGCAGGGATATATTAGGAAGTTAACTCTCAAGGCAAGTCATCTTCAAGCACCATATCGGCATGATCAGCATTGTAAGCAGTATCTCAGTGCTTCGTTGTTTAGTCAGAGTTTTATACTCTATCACTCACTGTAATGTTCCCATTTGCAAAAGGTAATACATACCCTTTAAAACATCTTTGCTTTTTCTCCCATTATCTGAGATGCTAGCAGCTTCATGAAGCAGAATAACTAAGGGAAAACAGATTATATAAAGGGTTGGAGCTCAATGAAGATGCAAGAACAGCAAAAGTTATTGTAAAATTGGCTGTTTGCAGGCCAGCAAGCACATCCATATGGAGGCAATCAGTTTGTGCTACCTCTGTTTGATAGAATTCATAATATTGACTTTATCCATTAGATTTGGACTACCAGGGAATGAAATAAGCAGATGAAGAATAAGAATTTGCTAGGAAATAATTTAGCCAATCACTTCAAGAAACAGCTTTCAAAGTGTCTCTCAAACTATGTTTGCCCATTATCCCAATAATTTATTTCCCAATTATTTCATGGGAAAAGAAGGATGTTCTGTGGTCAGATAAGTCTGGAAAACACTGGATTAAGCAAAGTTCAATAGGTCTGTTTCCCTGCAGGTCACCTCAGAGTCTTTACTCTGCTAACCTAGGAATTCATCCAACAAGTTTAATTTAACAGCTCACTGTATACGTAACTTTAACCGTCACTGAGACGTGACTCTTGGGGGAAAAATTGTATGTGTTTGTATCTGTGTGTGTGTACACATGTGTGCACATGTGCAGAATCTGCCAAATCTTAAGAAAAAGGAACATGCTGGGAAACTGTCCTGTGAAAGAGAATAGAAACCTGAAGATTTGAGGCAGTGATAGCATTTATGAAAGCAACTGATAAGTACTCATCACTGAAATGGGTAGCTCTTTTGCCGGTTGGGGAAAACAATAATTTTTCCCCACCCAATGTGCTGCATTTTCTAATTTTCTACGAACACTTTCTAAGAAAAAGCTGAATGAAGAACATTTGCGATGCAATCAGCTCATTAAGAAACACGCACTTTTGTGGAGATACGTACTGTCCCAGGAGACGCTCTGCGCGGAGGCTGAGTTTTTGGATTGGAGCTGCTGAATGGTTTCGCACAGTTCTAGAATATTTGGGGCTGCACCCTCTAAGATGTTGAACCCATCAAGTAATTGCTCCAAACCACTTTATGGGATATAATGCTGTGAGTTGAGACCTGAGGGAATTGTGGTCCTGTTCATGAGTAATTACTTTTCTGTTGCCTATAGGAGGGCCAGCAATAGCAGATGAGTAGCTGAACAGTGGTTTTGAGTAATAAAACGTTCTTTTTAAAAAAGTAATGCTTTCTGTTAAACTCTGACTATATCTCTCTCCTGGTATCACAACCCAGCTTTCTTTTTGCCTTCTTTATTGCAGTTACATATGGGGCTGATGACTTTAGGGATTTCCATGCAATAATTCCCAAATCTTTCTCTCGTAAGTATATGCCTTGCTTCTGGAAAACAAAAGCATGCCTTCATCTCCTATCATGTAAATATCATATATGCATGTTCCTTCATCAACGCCTTCATTCATGCTTGAAAAAGGAGATACGTTAAATATTCACTGTTCTATTCATTAGACACCTACCGTATCATTTTTGGGTATTTATACCATGAAGTGCAAAAGGAAGGTCTAGGCAGTTGTGCAGTGTCCTGGGAGCATGGTAGTGGAGTCACAGTAAGGGTTGGAGTCGCAGTAGCACTGATGGGATTGTTGCTTCACTGATGCTGCTGGACAGCTTTGAGATTACTCTTGTGATTATCTCCTTTTTATTGAGTGTGAGGATAAAATGGCCATACTTTCTGTCACCAACAAAGAACTGAACATGGTTTCAAGATAATTTTTACAATTTTGTGGGACAGGAGAAAGAGACATGCTCTTCATCTGTGGTTCTGGAGTATTAATTTCAGAACTGAGAAGAGAAAATTGCAGGCCTCCAGGCCGTTATTCTGTGGTGCGTCGCTGCTGGAGCCAACTTATTGTTCATGCTTGTTGCCCGCAGGACCTTCTCTGATCTGAGCTGTTAAACCAAAAACAGATGTGAATTTCATTTTTCTTTTTTAGATATTGAGAGCTGATAAATGATAAATACATTTGGGTAACATCCTCAAAGAAATACTTTAAAGAACAGAGAGTGCTTTTAAAAATGTATAGAGAGCTGAATATTTAAAGTCATACAAGCTGATAATCCCCTTGGGACCTGTATTAGTAAATTCTCTAATACTATGAAGCAACATCAGAAAACAGGTTGCATTTGTTAACACTGTGACAATTATAATTATAGGCTCTAATTTAAATAGTGCCAATGACAGTTAAAGACAGTTTCTGACATTCTGGTTATCAAAAACTATCTGGTGTCTAAGGAATTTAACAGTATCAAAGTACACGCTTTTGCTTATAAACTAGATTGGCTACTTTTCCAGCCTGTAAAAGTTACAGAAATCTTTCTTCTACTGATATTCCTTTGGTTCCACTTGATACCTACTTTTGTGAGATGTATATGTATGTACATGTAAATGCTTATATATGTGTATCTGTTTACACATGAGCTTGTATGAGCATATAAAACATAATGGTATTGGACAGGGAAATGATATTGAAGAATCATATTATTGAAGTATTTTGACAAGTCAAATGCACTTGAGAGTAAGCTAATGCATTGTGAAACATGTTTCTGTGAAGTCTGAGGAAGGTGTCAGCCAGAGCATATTGCAGTGTTGAAGCAGACCCTTCAGTGAAGCCTTCAGTCTGTAAGATTTGCTGCATGTGAAGATGTGTTAATGTTATGATACTTACAGTTTTTATAAAAGAGATGATATACACTTGGATACACTTTCTGTCTGTATTTGTGCAAATGTGTCCATAAGGTATTGGTGTCTCTCTTTCTCTTCCCCTCTCCCCAGTGTTGGAATTGTGACTATCCTCCTCACACAAGTGGCTAGTTGGTCTTGATGCCTTCCTCCACAAAACAGCAACCAAACTGTTCTGGGCCAATATCACCACCTTGTGGTCATGATAAAGAATTGCCCCCTTTGCCCTTCACAGCTCTTTTCTTCTTAAAAATTAAAAACAACCCCTTTGACCCCCTCTACTGTCCTTATTCCAGTTTGTGTCCCTAGTTACTGGAGGAAAGAAAATGTCTGTTGCTCTTTTTTATTCTCTCTATCTTTTTACTCTTCTGCCTTTCTTTTCTCTCCCTGACTTCATTCCATTTAAAGGCCTTAAATTGCCAATAAGGAGAAAAGTATTTTCTAATAAGGTACCCTGCTGAGACGAAAACAACTTTCTACATTTTAGATGATATTAAGTTATAATAAATGGTGCCATGAACCTTAAAATGCTTAAAAGTTTTATAAATCTATTTTAGAGGCAACACACACACACAAAATATATATATACACACACACACACACATATATCCTCTTCATCTCGAATTTTCACTTAATTACTGTGATTCAAGATATATTTTAAATATTTTCATTTCATTTTATTTTTACTTGCTAGTCACCAATGTTGCAAGAATATTTCTGTCTACCATTTTTCAAGTAAAATATTGAGCATTTCAAGCTTACGTGGCCTAAACTCACGCTGGAGTGATTGCTTTGGACTATCTTTTCAATGGAAAAATGCATTCTGAGTACCAAACATTTACTTTTTCGGTAAATATGAATACACATTCTAAAAAGGAAAGGAAAATGAAGAGGAAGCATAACTCATTGGTCAGGTGGGGACTGACAGTATACATTATACCTATGCATTAAAAAATGTTTAATTATCCATGAGCACATACACTGTCTGGCACAGATTCAGGCCTCTTGGCTCCTCTTGGCATCTGAGTTCCTTGTATTCTCCAGATTCTTCAATCCAAACTTGTCTATCTACCAAAGTCCACCTTCCATACAGGGGTGTGGGGTCTCTCTTAGTACTATTGGGTGCCAATAACATAGAAGACCTCCAAGATAGGTCAATGAGATTTTAATTTTTCCCAACTTTAAATAGCATCTGGGAAGGAAAGCAGCTTTTGACTAGGAGTTTGAAAACATCCACTCTTCATATTTATTGTTGCATTTATTGAATAATAAAATTGGGCTCTTGTCCATTGTCTCTCAGTCAACGAAAGAGCCCCGGGTGGTCCTGAGCCAGAGTGTTCCGGGGAAAGAGAAGACCAGTCTCCATTTCATGTTCTATATTTAATCAGTTCAATTCAGCACCTTACTGAGTTTGACATTTTTCTAAGTAATGGGGTGGGGGGGTTACAAAATATTCATAAGTATCTTTCCTATCTTCTGGGAGATGTACCATTTCACTGAAGCAATACCATAGCTAAGCAGTTCCAGCTAAGAGTAACAGAGGAGGGAGTGAGCGATTTAGGAACTCACAGAAGGGCATGGCCAGGAAACTCGGGCCCTGGCAAATGTTCCATAGAGACAGCATCCATGGGGTTGAACCAAGCACAATGCCTGCATCATAGGGGCAGGCGGGTTCATGGAATTGATTCTGGGGCAGGTATGAGCAGCACCGTTTAAGGAGTGGCAGTTGTTAAGAAACTGAAGGGACTTCTCATAGGGCATTTTCAACAGAATTCAGCGGGAGCCTTGCATATCCCTTTGGGTGGGCTCCGGGGTATTATGAAGCTGCCAGGAGGTACACAGCTTCAGTAACTGCCAGTCATTCCTTCCCAACCTCCTCCTTCATTCGTGGAGGCATCAGCTGGTGTCATTGCCTTCTGCAGGAGGATGGATTTCAAAACGAAGGGCTGCCAAAACTCACGCTCTCGCAGAGCCTCCCTCACAACTGCATGTGTTCACTACCATCGACAGGCCAACCCCCACTTGTTCTTTTCTTCTAGGTAAAGGAAAAGGTCTGCGGGTCAAAGGCCCTGAACGCCTCACTCCTTGAATGGGAGGCATATTGGTGGAAGCTGTCACACAACTACAGGTGGCAGGAACCTGCCATCAGGGTTCCCACCAGCCTCCAGGGCTTGCTTCTCTGCTCTCTGTGTGGACACCCTCCGCCCCTGCAAATCCCTCTCTCAGAAGAAGCTCTTCTTGCACTCACCTCCCACTTGCCTCTCCTCAGCACCTTCTCCACCCTCAGGGGCCAAACTGAGGAAGTGTGAATCCTGTGCCATCAACCTTGCTCACAGGAATTAGTTTCAGTCCCCACTGACCAACTTCCTTCCAAACCTGCACCAGCCTGTGCTGCTCTTTTTAAAGGAGGCATGTGCACGGCCTGGCTGGTACAGAAGATTCCAGATTTCAGTGACTACAGGACTCTGTCACCCCTTCTTCTGTTTTTCTTTCTTCTGTCCACATCTGTGATTGAGCTCACCTTCAGGGAAAACCCCAGAAACCTTTTTCACACTTACATGGGAAGCCAAGACGCTCTCATCCCGGGCTTGTTTTTTTAAAATGTGTATTTTAATTTCACAGGTCCTTACATTTATGACTAATAGGTTTCAGATTTTGAGATACAGTCTGTAGCTGCAACTTACGAAGATAGTTTCAAGCCCTGATTTCTGTCATCTATGAAAACAGTAAGCAAGTTGCTTATATTCTCCTCCTAGCTGGATAAGAGACCCCCATTTTCATGGACAGCCTCCTTGGGTGGACAGAACTCTCCTGATCTCATCTATGTAACCAGCATCCACTTTGCATTTTTCCACAAAGAAACGAGGAGCTTAACCCCATTTATGGGAAATCCACACACTGCTTGAATCTAACGCGCCCCATGGTGACGACTCTGTTCCCACCAAATCCTGCCAGCGCCTGGCAGTCATCCAGTCCCTGTCTTAGACTTCACCAACCTTTCCTGTCATAACATGGCTTAGAAGCTGTCCGAATAGTGCTAGAAGCTTCCAGCCCTGGAATGCTCCGCATCTGCCATCTAAATTCCATTTAAAATGTTTTGAGCATTTGCTGATACAGGTTCCTCTGTTCATTTTTCGTTATTTTCAGTTCTTTGGCCTTGCCCACAGTGATCCGTGGATATTGTCTGCATACTCTTTTTTTAGAAACCTAGAGCATCGCAGTGTCCTTAGTTTTCCTCTTGGAACTCTCTCTCTTCCTGAGCTGATCCTCCCTACTGCTGTTCCTGCAGACTTATGTGACCAATCTTCTGTATATGTCCCTACATCTGGCCATCTAGGTGGAGATCTAGGTACCTATCTCCCTAAAATCGTACCTTGGTGTCCACATTGATCTCAGGACAGTATGTGATAGGCTCTTGTGCCTTTTTGACTAGGAGTTTGAACACATCCACTCTTCATCGTATTTATTGTCACATTTGTTGAATAATAAAATTGAACTCTCATCCATTATCTCTCAGTCAATGAAAGAGCCCAGGGTGGGCCTGAGCCAGAGTGTTTGTGTCCCTGGTTCTCTTTTGGTTCTGTTACAACTGTCAGTGACAGTGTCATGAAGGCTAACAAGGACAGAGTACTGCTTTCAGCCACCATTTGTCCAATGAGTGACTGATCTCCAGGCCTCTGGCTTTGAGGACATCTGTGATATCTATGGCAGCATCCATTGTGGGCTTTCCCCTATGCTTCTGCTTCCTTCCTGTCACATAGCTTTGCCGCCTCCTGCAAGCAGCCTGCTGTAGCAGAACTGGTGATCCTGAAGCCAGAAACCTGAAGGTCATGTCCAGTGCTTCCCTGCTGTTCTGTTCCCCGCCTGCAAGCGCCCACACACTTAGCAACAGCACACACCATAGAGCACACCGAAGAATCCCAGAAATACTCATTCTTAATGATCCAGAAAAACAAGTGATAACTTCTGGCAAGTTCTAATAGGCCATATGTACCCGTGGGAAAGCAAGAGTCAATTCTCTGTAGCTGGTTGCCTCTGAATTTATGAAGTCAAGCCAAGTAGGGGAATATGCCAAGGGGATTATCCCCATGCCTGTTCTTCTGCGTGGCGTCCTTTTTCTAGCCTCAGAAGCACTCCGCCTACACCTTCTCTACAGCCCTCGTCTTAGCGCCTGTTTTTGAAAAACTTGCTACACCAATCTTAATTTGGTCCATTGTGTTCTAATCTTATATTAAAAGCCACAAGATAAATGATTAAAAATAATATTAGATTAAGGAGTACACAGATCTTTGCAACCTCATTGTGTTTCCAGAGCAGGCTGGTGTAGACACTGGTGAGCAAGGAGGGCCTAGAGAATTAGCTTCCTCCCAAAAAGATGCACATCCTCTACCTGAGAGTACCGACAGAGAACTCAGTGGTCGTTGAGCACCATTGCCTCAACAGCCAACCAGACTCACTTGCCTGCCTATCTCTTTATTTTCCAAGTATCTTATCCCTGGCAGTGGGGAGAGGTTAGTAGGAGGCTGCTCAGATGCTCTGAGTCTCTGATCTTCAGGATCTGAAGGGAAGAGCATTTGGAGAATCCCCACTGCTGGATTTCTCAGGACAATTCTGCATAATGCCAGGATCTGATGGAGGAGACAGGCAGCTCTGTTCATCCTCTGGTGCATCCTCACTTTTGTGGTCTCCAAGTCCAGCATGTCTCAGTTAATTCATTTCATTATTCATCTGTAAGTCATTTCGCTAAAGAGCTAAAGGGAAAACACTGGCAGTACAGTTAGCCCTCCATTTCCATGGGTTCAGCCTCTGGAAATTCAACCCACTGTGGCTTGAAAACGCAGTATTCAAGAGACACGGAACCTGTGGATGTGGAAGGCAGATTTTTCGTATCCACAGGTTCTGTAGGGCCAATTTAGGGACTTGCACATCCACAGACCTTCAGGAGTCCCAGAACTGATGCACTGCAGTTACCAAGAGATGACTGTGTAAGTGGATGCTGGGGCCAGGCTGCCTGCAGTTACCTTCCAGCTCTGCCACTTGCCAGCTATGTGACCTTAGCAAATTGTTCAACCTCTCTGTGCCTCGGCTTCTTCAACTGTAAAATAGGATAATGATAGCACTTCCCTTATGGAGTTGTCGTGAAGGTTAAATAGCAGAGAGCAATTAATGTGCTGTCTGCCCAGCATGTGATATTGGGGTTAGGTGGAAGACTATACTGGGATCACTGGGGGTGAGCCTCCATGTTTCATGCCCCAGCCACTGTCCTCAGCTAACTTCTCATCGGTCAGCCCTGTTAGGCTGGTGCTATAATAAATTCCATTTTCATGGATGAGGAAATCAAGGCACAGAGAAGTTACATGACTTGCCTAAGATCTCAGAGCTTTTAAATAGTGCAGCTAAGATTCCCGACCAGGTATTTTTATTTCAGTGTCTGAATTGTAGTTCTCTAAATCGAGAGGAACTCGCTGAAATAAAATAAACTTGGAAGGTTATTAACTAAGTTGGTTATTCAAAACAGTTGTTCTCAGTCCTCAGGATACGTTAGAATCTTTTGGAGGGTTCATTAAAACAGACTGCGGGCCTGCCCCAGAGTTCCTGAGCCAGCAGTTCTGGGGTGAGCCCGAGAGTCTGTGCTTCTAGTAAGTTCTCAGGTGATGCTGATGCTGCTTCTCCAGGGACCAGACTTTGAGAACCATTGATTGAAAATGTTGATCAAAAATTATGTAGTCTACGCTGAGCACAGTGGCCACACCTGTAATCTCAACACTTCGGGAGGCCAAGGCAGGTGGATCACTGAGCTCAGGAGTTCGAGACCAGCCTGGTCATCGTGGGAAGACCCATCTCTACAAAAAATACCAAAAACAAAAATGGCCGGATGTGGTGGTGCAAACCTTTAGTCACAACTACTAGGGAGGCTGAGGTGGGAGGATCACTTGAGCCCGAGAGACAGAGGCTACAGTGAGCCATCCCACTGCACTCCAGCCTGGGTGACAGAGCAAGACCCTGTCTCAAAAAAGAAATATTTAGTCTTGATTGTCATCTATCTCATTGATCATTTTACTTGGCAAAATGTACCTACCTACTCTTAATTAGTCTGTAAAAATGGTTGTTAAAATGATGGCTTTCAGTGTAACTACAAATTATCTTAGTCATTGTAGTGTTGGATTCACCAGTGTATCATCAGTCAGTGTTTCTGATGTATGTAAATGAAATGTTTCCTACTTTCTTCAGGAAGAAAAATATTCAAATGACGTAATTACCCTATGATGTGTGACTTAAAGGCAACAGTAATGCAGAGTCAATAGTGGTCATTGTATTCAAGACACTAAAAGTTCACCTCCCACCCTCCCCCCGGCACACACACAAGCTTCTTTCTCTTTGGGAAAAAAAAAGCTCTTCCAGATATCTACATTCATAAACTATCCCAATTAACCCTTCAGTGAGTGGAAGAAGTGTAAGAAATGATTACCTCTTCTTTAGAACACAGCGTTTGTTTATGTTATTTAAGATAAACAGGAATTCAAATGGTCATGTACCGAAGAAACAGAAAGATCTTCCAGAAATCTGAAGGGGAACTGTGGTCAGAGCTCTGAGCATTTTTATGTTTACTGAGTTTTGTCCCAAAGTTTATTAATGTTTACATGCCACAAGGAAAGGTAGCATCACAAGTAAGAGACCTTTTCAGGCTTGTTAACCACTTATTAGGTATTTTGCCAAACAAGTTCTCACATCCTAGAGCGCTGGATTGTGTGACCCGGTACCCACCCTCTAGGGCAAGGTGCCCATCTGATGGGTAGGGTGTAGGAGTTGGCTTCAGACCACTCCTGACATGAACCTGCTTAAAATGGGGGCCCAACTCTAAAGTGGGAACTATGTAAATACCCTTCTAGTGCATTTTCAGACCCTCGCCAATGGGGCCTATGGAGAGGGCTGGCAGATCTCCCTGTGACTCCAGGTGCATCCCAAGGCCTGCCACCAAAGCCCTCTCAAGTCTGAATGCATGGCGAGTTCAGGCTGCTCTCCCCTTGGTATTTGCTAAGAACTTCTGTTTAGTAGCTCTCCACGCCTATTTGATTGTCTTTTTGCTGCTGTGTTGTTTTGTTGCATTTTTTTTTTTTTTGCAATGACACTGAGTGGCCTCCTGTATTGTTTCTTTCAGCCAGTAATGTTAAAGTAGAGACTCAGAGTGATGAAGAGAATGGGCGTGCCTGTGAAATGAATGGGGAAGAATGTGCGGAGGATTTACGAATGCTTGATGCCTCAGGAGAGAAAATGAATGGCTCCCACAGGGACCAAGGCAGCTCGGCTTTGTCAGGAGTTGGAGGCATTCGACTTCCTAACGGAAAACTAAAGTGTGATATCTGTGGGATCATTTGCATCGGGCCCAATGTGCTCATGGTTCACAAAAGAAGCCACACTGGTAAGGCCTGGCTCAGTTTTTCCTTTAGTGGCCTGGAGAAGGTGCATGGGGTTTGAAGGAGGAAAGCATCCTGTCTTCCTTGAGTGTTCTGAGCATGTTTCAAATTGACTGGTAGCTCAGTTGTTGCAAGCGATTGGTTCCAAGTGGTACCAAGTCATAGAGTCCTTATTCTGGTACGGCCTTGAAAAGGACTTATCAACATGTACCAATTCCACCTTATACATAAAACAAGGGGAAAGTGAACAGCATCACATGAGAGGCCTGGCGAGGGCCTGCTATTATAGTAACACATACTAAGTAGTCTCAGCTGAGCCCTTAGGGTACGTGTGCTAGTCATCACCCTCCACAAAACAGAAAATCCTGATACACCAAAATTTACTCCTCAAATTTTCCACTGAGAAACCATGAGTAAAATGTGTGTTTTAATGGTATTCAAACTAACAGGGTTTGATGTGTAGAAACAATAGTGAATGATGGAATAGCAGCAAAATTGAGTTTTCAGAAAGACCTCAGATGAGCTTTCAAATGATTTGCCCTCTACCAGGGGAGACTGAATCAGATGCTTCTGTTACCACTGGTTATCAGCTCAAATTCCTAAATAACTTCATCCCAAATCCTCTGTCTTACTGAAAGGTTTACTGGAAGTATAAGAGAATGTCATGTTCTGTGTCCAGAAAGGAAAGAACACGGGCACCCTAGTGTCAGCGAGTTGTGCTCAGGCTCACAGGATGCCCCCTCACCAGGGACGTGGGAACACGGCGAGCCCCAGCTGGCCTCGCTCTGCCAGTGTTTCTAATAGTCGGTCACGTTGATGGAAGTGTCACAGAGTTGTCCAACAGAACTGTCCAGTCACCACCACTCATGGTGCTGAAGGGTCTTAGAAGTAAAATATGAATGGCACACACTTATTTAACTGTTGGCAGGAGGTTTCTTATGAATTGAAGAGAAACTTTTCTTTGCATGGGAAGCTGTTCTAAAGTTGGGTAAAACACAATAGATCCACCACCTCTAGCAGCCACTGAAAGCTGGAACGTGAAACATAGAGACCCTAAGCCATCACTGCCTCTGAGCTGGCATCGTTAGGTCAGCATAAAGCTAGCGTCTCCCACTGCAAAACCCAAGGGGAAGAATTAGTTGAAAATCCTATTTTAAAGGCCTAGCAGATTCTATAAGATACCTCAGGAAAGTGATGACGATGACTTGACATCAGACCCTCGTGTGCTGCTTCCGTGCGGGCAAACAAAAATATGTTTATCAGAAATTAAGCAGAAATTAAGAAAATTTCGTGAGCCAAAAAAGCTATATTATCAGGAAATGCAGATATTTGTGGGGTTGTAATTTTTATATATGAATCAGGGCAGTTTCCAAACTGATCCATTCCATTTGTAGTGTATCTGAAAAACTGTAAAAATAAGTTGATGTCAATAGATACCCATCTTCAATAAAAATTCAAATTCTAAAATTAAGCAAACTTTGCTTTTTCTAATGGCCCCTTTATCCTCAAATTACCCAGTGAAATAGACCAATCACACTCAGCCCTAAGTGAAGCAAGCGTCCACGAGAGTAGTCCCAGCCTCGCCTTTGTGATGAGGTGGAAGTTAACATGAAGGTAGGCTACCCTGTGATAGACACTTAACAGGATACTCCGAGACCTGTAGTAATACATCCCCGATGAGGAATAGACCTCACTAATGAATTACTTGCCTGTTAGTTCATGTACAGCCTGACTGTACAGTGAAAATTCTCTTAAATAAATATTTGATAAGTGAGTCAAATTCTGGCATACTAAATTGCCAAAATATAATGACTGCCTGCCTTGATAAAAAGAATAATTACATTTAATGAATAAACCTGCCAAGTACAGATATGCCAGGTGGCATCTGCTGTTTGTTGTTCACTTCTCCCAACAAATAGCAGCTAGGTGCCACCTGCACACCAATAAGCTGAGTTTTTCACTTACGGAACAAATAACTTTCAGAAGTCAATTTTATACTTTCTGTCTTGCCCTTTGTTAAAAACAAAAAAATACCCACACTTGAAGCAATGAACTTGTGAATTGTCTTCATCATGCATTTCCACTGCCTAAATATAGACAGTCCCAGATAGATACAAAATACCTGGTTTGGCCAGACTTGGTTTGAATAACTAGATATGCTAGAAAAGGTTTTCATTTTCCTGGGATCTGAGTGGAATATGTTACAGAAGCCATGCTTTCTGAATTCTCTATGCTTAAAACATTTCTAGAGCAGTGCTTCTCAAACTTGAAAGAGCATGTAAATCACCTGAGATCTTGTGAACATGCAACTCTGCTTCAGACCTGGGGGGAGGCCAGAGAGCAGGCATTCCTAACAAGCTCCCAGCACGTGGAGCACAGAGCCGCCTCAGGCGGCAGGGCAGCGCAGCTGAGCAGTGACAGAACAGGGTCGTTCGGAGGGCTCTCCATCTGGGGCAGGCTGGTACTTGCACTGTGGCCATTGTTCCTCCTCCTGCCCGTGGCTGAGTCAGCTTCCCAGTCCCTTCCGGGATACACTGAGGGAATTCAGGGGCGGTCTCACCTCTACCCATATCCCCATGTTGGTTAAGTACCACTGGTGCCATTTTCTAATCAGCTCATGGGCACCAGCACGTCACTTCCCCTGTTGCGCAGCTCAGTTTTATATTTTTGACTCGGGTGTAATAGTAACATCTTCCCCACCAGTGTCTCAGGGTTAGTGTGAGAACCAGAGGGGAGAGTGGTAGTAAGGAAGCAGGAAATGCAGGGTGCAAATACACCGCATTATTATTCTAAATGATGGGATTTTTAATAACAAAGACCAAGAAGATTGTCTGTGCCTACCTAGTTCCCGTCTGTAAGATAAAAACGTTCAGTCCCCGAGCTTCCTAAGCACAGCACCCTAATGGCACTGCTCCTCCCAGGTATGGTTGCAGTAGACCTACGTCAGTTCTTGAAGTTCAAACATATTTTTTTCACTTTCTTCTGATACGCCCTCAAATTCTAGGACGTAGGCATCCATGAAGACTTCCGTTTTTACCCAGTGAAGTTATTGGAGAGGGCTCAAACCTTCTTACAGAGGGTTCCTAAACTGGGAGATCTGTGGAGTCATTGGGATTAAAAATTAAATTTCCAATTCACGACGTCAACGTCCTCATCCCAGTTAAATAAAAATAAATACAACCTTGGAGAAACTTGACCTACTCAGCTGCAATAGCTGTTGACCTGCACAAGGGAAATGATGGACCCCGGCCACGCAAGAACACACATGGCGTGGGCTGGGTTCTTGTGCCCCAGCTCCATGAACGTGTCTTCTTAGCTGCGGACCCCTCCAAAGGAAACTGCTTGAGTGGAGTGCTCTGTATTGTCACTCCTGGAAATGCTCTCTTAAGACCCCCATGCCTTGTGCTACATGTTCATCCCAGCAAAGGCACTCAGAAGCAAAAAAGGTTTCCAATGAAATTTGTTTGTAGGCAGGTATTAGGACCCCAAGCACGGCAGGATCCAAGCGAACCCCTGCCTGCCTGCCTGCCTGCCTGCCTGCCTGCCTGCCTGCCCTGCTCCGCAGAAGGGCAATGTGTCTGCAGCAGTCTGCCCTTTCTGTCTGTGATGGACAGAGACCCTGGCTCTGCCTCCTGTTTTCCCTGTAGCCCTCCAGACCTGGGGAGAGACATGGACTCCAGCACCTGCCCAGCATAGAAGGGGGTCTTTCCCAGGTGTAAGTGTAGGGCTGGATTCACGAACTTAGGGTCATACCACAAACACTGTTGTGTCACCAGGATGTCCTCACATCCTTACTGTGAGCATTTTTGTGGCATGAGCTTTCTCCTGAGAGGCCACCCTGTCCAAATGAGAGCTGTGGTTGGAGGCATGTCCATCTCACGCTGTCTGGGTCTCCCTGCACCAGCTCACTCTACTTTTCCTTTTTATCCTTTTGGAGTTAAATACACACAGTTATGCACAAGTGCACGGAAGGCTCAGAAGTGTTCCTAACAGATAATTAAATGATCTCTCTCCAGTGGAAACTCTCCTGGGCTATCTGGCTGCTAGCTGTTTTAGCCTCTTCATCTAGTATTGATTTTCATGCATGGGTTTGTAACTCAGACAGTATAGTTAGTTAGTCAGTCAGTTAGCTTGTTTCACCATCACCTTCCAACCTGCTTACATTTAAACTCCTTCTCTCTGCTTAGCTAATACAAATTTCTATAGGGATTTGGAGAAATACCAGATACCTCCTGGTTAGTATCAGGACCTCTCCATTGGCCTATAATTGAACATCACTGTAAATTAGTTTCAGCTTTTATAGTAGTGCCTCTAACCTGCCAGCTTAAAAAAAAAAAGTGATGATAATCATGAAATTCAAGTGTCAATATAGACTTTTAAATCTAATCTGGTGTGGATGTTAATAGTGCCAGATATGCTTCTGTGTAATCATTTTTGAGAAGTGCTGTCTTCTTTACCATAATCATATTAATCAATCGGGAAATGGTTAAATAGACATTTTAATACATTGTTTTTTCCTGAGAAAAAAGTGACTCCAGGAAATATGTTGTTATGGTCTCTCAACACCAGGAATTGTGGTCACATAGGATTCTTCTTCTAAATAAAGCATTTGTTTTACAAAAGAGTTTCATGTCTACTTAAACATGACAAATTATCACTCTTTGAAGTGAGAGTTAAATGAAATGTTCCCTGATTTAGATTCCAAGACCTGTGACTACTCAGTAGGACAATAGTGTATTTCTTTTACTCAGATACCTGTTTATCCCTTTGTCAGCTCTGGAATGGAGACACAGGTGCTGCCACACAGAGCAGAGGGTCAGGTGTTTTCTTAGTCACAGTTGCAACAGTCCCACCCCGGAAAGAATTCCTTCATAACAACTAAATTGCACCTCTTAGAATACCTGTACTTAAAATATAATTTGTCTTCTATGGATATAGACAAATAATAGCTTAAATGTTTTAGGATTTGTAAAGAAAGAAAAAGCTAGAAATCTCAATGCAACTCTGACTTGTATGCCCTGCCATAGGGAGGTTTGGGACTTTTCTTTGGAAGATGGGGGACTTCCTTCACAGTTTCTTAACTTCTCATTTTATTCAATCTTTCTCCATCTCTCTCTCTCTTTCTCTCATCCTCACGCTCTCTGTCTGTCTCTCTCCTGATTTGCCTGCTTAGGGACAGACAGGTAATGGAGAAGAAATTGAAAGGGAAAATACAGGGAAAATGTAAATGAAAAGAAGTTATTATAACTGTTATAATGAAGTGCCTTTCATTTAAATATAAGAATGTAACGCTGAAATGAACTTGTGATCCTGAAATGCATTTTTAATGAGTTTCCTTTTTATTTTGCTGCTTCAGTGGCATATTTTAAAGACCCTTTGAAAAAAGCCACATTAAAAACCCCACCAAATGCCACAACACGCAAAATTGGATATTGGTTTATTCCAAAACTGCTGATCAGGAAGAGTGGCTCTTCATCACAAAATGTTGCAGTCACTTTATTTAAATGAGTTTGAATTTGCATTGTGATGTGCCATTCTGATTTAGGGAAAAAAAATTAGATTTTCAGATCAAATTGACCCAGCCAGTGAAGCGTTAAGGAGCTGGCAGGTTTAGTCTGAAAGCCTCGTGTTCTATCAAACCTGCAGCCGGTGGAAGTCACCAAGCCCCCGTGGGAAACAACTTTCTTGTAGCATCATCCTCGTGTCCCCATGTTGAGTTTAGTTCTCACCAGCTCTCCTCTCTCGGTCCCAGGAGAACGGCCCTTCCAGTGCAATCAGTGCGGGGCCTCCTTCACCCAGAAGGGCAACCTGCTCCGGCACATCAAGCTGCATTCCGGGGAGAAGCCTTTCAAATGCCACCTCTGCAACTACGCCTGCCGCCGGAGGGACGCCCTCACTGGCCACCTGAGGACGCACTCCGGTAGGTCCCCTGGGTGCAGTCCAGGGCTGTCCGGGTGTCCCGGGACTCCTCCGCTCTGCCTGCATGGATCCCGGATTGTATCCTTGCTGGCTAACCCTGAGTACCCCCCAGCTCGCAGTCCTGCATTGGGTGTGGGCCGTCGCTTCTTTGACATTGCCCCATCCGCCCTCCCCATATTCTACTTTTCCCACAGCACCAGGGAGATTGGGCACAGGGAGCCCCATGCACACACACGCACTCACACACGGAAGTCTCACCTTAGGTAGCATGTTTCAGAACAGGCCTCCTCATCCCGTTTGTCAGGCTGGTGTGGTTTCCATAAAGGATTTTGCGGGAAGTGTTTTCACCAAGTGTACTGCTAAGACCCAAAACGTTTTCAAGTACAATTCTTTATGTTGTTAAGTCCCACTTGGGAGTGTTTTACACAGGTGTAATAGGATAGCTTTTTTGCAGAGCTGGTAGAGAAGGGTGATTTAGGGCACACCCACCCAGACTGAGCCCAGTGTGGCTCTCACACCAAAAACCAGCCAACACCACAGTTGCAGAGGCCAGTCTGGGGCTGTTACCAGATTTTAGACAGCAGCCTTTCTCTTTCAATTAGACAGATAAAGTACAACCCACATAGTCCGGAGTCTTGGCAAGATCATCATAGGCATAAATGCTCCATTATTCTCAAAACACTCCCAGCCTGTAAAGTCCAAATCCACTAAAGTTTGGTTAGATCCTCTGCCTCCTGAGAAATAGTCCTGGGTGTTTCATTATCCAGCAGTCCCATAATTCTGCAGGGCAGAGGAAGAGAGGGCTCTTGGCCGGCGTGTCATGGATCATGTTTGCCTACAGTGTGGTCTGTACAACATGACACGGCACAGGTCTCCTTCATACCGTCCAGTTGGGGGTATTTGCTGTAGCATACTGCATGAAGCTTTGGATGTGAAAGGTTGATGGCTTTTGTCCTTTCCCTCAAGGGGCCTCTTGCCCCAGCCAGCCACCAGCCAAGGCCCTTCTCCAAGCAGCAGGCTCTCTAAGCAGGTGCACTGGGGCATGGCAATGCCTCAGACCAGCTGCTCCTCACCTACCTGGGGTAGCAGGATAAGGAGGAGCCTCCCTCAGGGAGGCGGATGTGTGTTGTTTATGGAAGGTCTGCAGCGGCCCAGGCCATCTCTTCCCAAATGTGATGCGTGTATTCAATGGTTGAGGGTTTTAGAAGCCGCTCATTACATCCATCTCTTTATCACACATTTACTGAGTGCCCCTGGTGCCCATTCTGCACAGAAGACCTCAGGTGCACACAAGGAAAGCACCCGTGTGTTACAGGAGGCATGACAGAGCGTCTGAGGGGACAGTGGGAGCATAAGGAAGGGGACAGTGGGTCCTGGGGTGGAAAGTCAGGAGAGACTTCCCGTAGAAGGGAGGGGCTTCTGAAGTACGTGCTGGAAGGCGAGTGTCTGAGGTTTGCTTTAGAGAAGTTCTAAATGAGTGTGTGAGTCGGCAATAATCCCAGAAAGGGGTGTGGCACCCATGTTGCCAAGAACTCAGTCTCTCTCCTGGCAGGTGACCCTTGTAGTAGCTCACCTAGTTGGCTAGAGACAAAAAAGAGAGGAGTCACAGAGGCCAGTGCATCACCTCCTCTCCATCCTGACCTCCTTCGTGGCGGTGCATGTGGAGAAGGATCCCCACATGCTCTTCATCACAAAATTGTCATGATTTGGGTGATTTGACTTCCTAAAAACGTCCAAGAAAGGAGCTATACCAAGCTGAGGAGTTGCTTGCCCCAGAGGGCGGGCAGGTCAGCAGGCGGGCCATGGAGTGGGATACTTGCCTTGTTACAGAGGGACAGGGAGAACGGGTGGTTCGCCTGAGATGGGAAGACAGTAGCATGACGTGAGCATCTTTAAATGTTCACATGGGTGATGAGCATGTACAGTGGTCCCACCTGGAGACAAAGGTGGTACCTGGGCCTGACAGGCAAGGCCTGTGGAGGCCTCAGCTGAGAGGACTGTGCAGTCTGTGTGCCATGCTAACAAGTGATCTAGGAAGAAGCTTCACATCTATTGTTTCTAAGGAGCCATGTAGACACGGACACAGTTGGCAGCAATATTGCCTTGGGTTAGTGGGAAGCACCGCTTCCCATGTCAGTGGAAAACACAAGCACTCATTCTTAGGTTGACACCAACCATAGGTCATCATCACTCCTAGATTACTCTCATTGCAATGGAATCTCTCATGCACATCAGTCCTTAAGAGCAGAGCTGCTCTCTTTCCTCTCTTGTTGTGGAGTTGGGACCATCTAGTAGAGTACTTTATGTTACTCTGGCTCCAGGCCTATGTATTTCATTTGAGGCATGATGGTATCCTACTCTAAGTACCACTGATCACTTGAGTAATTACAGAATGGTGGTAGACTTTGGACCATGTATTTCTATTCTGGATCCATGGATGAGCCAGTGAAGAAAACCCATTATGGATGCAGGGCTGCTAGGGATCTGTCTGTCCGAAAATGCTGTAGAGACACACACTGCTCTTGGGGAAAAAAACAGCGATGATTTCTTCAACATGATTTCACTGAAGTGAAATAAGGACTTTGGCCTTTGTCTGGCAAATTCAAATGTGGCCACACTCTACTCCATTGTGGAATGGTGACTCCCCTGTCCCATTAAAAACCAGGATCAACATCACAGCTTTCTCTAGCAACTGGTGGTGGCCTGAGGTCTTATGAACTAGCATGTTAGCAGGGAGAGAGTTAGGGAATTTGTCCCATGCTGACAGCAAGAGGGGACTGGGGGAGCTGGAGGGGTGGAGAAGTGATCTCCCTTCCTGCCTCATGGCTTCCTTTGGAAGTTGCAAGCTTAGAATTTCTTTCCCACAGAATATTGGGCTATGCTGCAAGAGACACTTGAGTTTAGTTGCTTACAGTGAACATAGTTCTTATGTTCCAAAGTTAAAATCAATCATATTTTCAGAAAAATGGGTATTCAGACACCATGTCATATATACAGGAAGCAATTTGATCATGGAATTTACTGAAGTTATAGCTTTTTCAGGAAAGGGCATCGAGTGATTATCTATATCCTATTAATTTCTAAAAGCAATACTCAATAAAATGTGCAATTTTAGGCAAAATTCTGTGTTTCAACATTATTTCCTGATATTAGGGTACATCACTTTATGTAGATAAATAAAGATCCTTTTCATTCTCTATTAAATGGTCCAGAAGTCAAATTTTGGCTTTCATGTTGGTCTTCTTCCTGTAGCTTCCGTTCACCTAGGAAAGAGATTCAACCAACATAATCTTTGACTAAACCATTGTACCAGACATTCTATTTGCATGCTCTTAATTTTTATACAATACTTTGAAATATGTTCAATAAAACAACATGAGAAAGAAGTAGAAGATTCTGCTATTAGGTTGGAAATTTATATTCCTTATATAAGTGATTAAAGATACTTTATTCAGTTTGTCTCTTAAAATGGTATCTACTGAAGTCCTTAAACTTAGGCATGATATGAATTCCTGACTAGTCTTTCTCTTTCCTAAAATATCACTGAGTAAAATCCAGAAAGGACTAAACCTCATTATACAGAACTGCACTGCCCAATACAGTAGCCACTAGCCACATGCAGTATTTTTAATTATAATAAGTTAAAACTAAACAAAATTAAAACTTCAGTCCTCAGTGGCACTAGCCACACTTTTTATGTCCAACAGCTACATGTTGCTGGTGGCTACCATATTGGACAGCACCAATAGAGGGCACTTCTATCATGATAGTAAGTTCTGTTGGACAAGGCTGATCTAGAAGCTACACCATCCTAAAGCTCTTTGGCAAGAAAGCAGAGCTTTTCCATAAGCTCTGTTTATGAACAATGTATTTTGTATTTTCTATGTATATGTATGTAAAAATACATATACATAGAAATATATGAAAATACATATACATATAAATATACATATACATAGAATAGAAATATATATACATAGAAAATACAAAATATTTTGTATTACATATACATATGCATGGAAAATACAAAATACTTTGTCTTACATAATACAAACATAAGATATATTTATATTATGTAAGAAAATACATTTGTGAAATAACACACTTATTTCATTCAAGCATATTTGTCCAGCATGGTTTCTTAGAGACCTCAAGTTACCCAGTTTAGCACCTGGAACTGAATTCACTCTGGCTATGGTAGATGTAGCACCAGCGTCAAGGCAGATCCGGCCCACAGCATAGACCAAGGCCTACTCTGGAGGCAAATCTGTGGACAATGTGGCCAACACACCGGCCTTCCTCACATCTCTGTCCAGTCACTGGCATCCACATTATAACATGGCAGCGGCTCATTTTCTCCAGTTAAAGGTTAGGCTTCCGTGATTGAAGCAGGAGAAAATTTGGTAGTCAGTAGACAAACTAAGACAAAACAAGAATCGCATGAGTTCTTGGTACAATGAAAGAAACCCTTGGCCACCAACATTTTTGAATTCAGGAATTTTCATCAAGTCCATCACACTTTTAGCTCTCAAGGGTAGAATTTTTTTAAAACTTTTTTGGTAATAATTGTATTGCATGCATTTCCCTTACACATAAGGCTAGCATTTAATTGGGGTCTTGAACTCAATTGTGTTTTCTGCAGTTGGTAAACCTCACAAATGTGGATATTGTGGCCGAAGCTATAAACAGCGAAGCTCTTTAGAGGAACATAAAGAGCGCTGCCACAACTACTTGGAAAGCATGGGCCTTCCGGGCACACTGTACCCAGGTAAGCGCTGCTGCTCGGAGGCCAGCCTGGTGGGCTCTCCCCCCAGCATGGTGGGGAAGGAGGGCGCTCTGCATGCAGCCTTAGGAGCAGAGCCTTGGGCCTGCTTCCTGCCGGGGCTAGGAGGGAGGAAAGTTTTTGGCCAATAACATCACAGTTTCACCAGTAGCACATTGTGCTTTCTAGGTCCTCATCTGACCAGAGAGAGCTTGATTTTAAAACCCTTCCCACTTCCGATCGGGAGAAACTCCTAGGATAGCAGTGACTTTAAAAGTTTTGGGGTTGTTTTTTGGATGTTGGTGGTTTTAAAACAACAACAACAAAAAAAACCAAAAAAACAACAAAAAAAAAAACACCTCAAGTAGTGATTATTTCTTTGTAAACAAAATAAAATGTAAAATCTTGTTTTAAAACAATTTTTTAACAAAGTTTATCAAATAAGAACTTTCAGGCTGTGATTTTAAGCATCAGTTCAGACTGAGGGCAGGGTATCCACTCCTGCCTGAAGAGTGAGGTTGAAGTTTGTTGGAAGCCCCTGGTAGTTGATAGTATTGAGGTTGTCGAAGGATGAGAGGAAAAGTCGCTTCTTTCTCAGGAGCTGTGATGCTCCGCTGTGTTGCATAACGAGATAGCACTTGATTCCAACCCCAGAGCCTGTAGAATAAATGATGTGGAGAGATTACCAAGGAAGGCTGGATTTACCTGGAGGAATGGCAGTGTTATAAAAGGTTCTTCCCTAATTTTTTAAGAGATAAACAATTTATAAAGAGATCATATAAAGCTAATCTCTTTCAAAACAGTATTCATTTATCACTGCTCCTGGAAAAGCCATCACTAGACTGTGAGGTCACAATTTAACGAATGGTGGAAAATTTATTAAGCCTCGTTCATTCACCTTTCGGACTTTAATAAATGGTTCGAAAGGGAAAATTCACCAGAGTACCCTCAGGTTATTAGTGGCAGATGAGAGGAGGAGAAAAGAATGTTGGGAATGGCTAAAAATTGATTCCAATTAGTCTTGGCATGGAGAGGCAACATCTCACCTGGCCAGAGCTCTGCAGCCAAATTGTTGTCTCCTTTGCCTGTCAGCCAGGGATCTGGGGCTCACAGGTGATTCCTCCAGGTCTCAGTTTTCTCCCTGTGAAATGGGAAGATATCATTAAATTATCATTTGGCTTCTTTCAAAATCTCAGGTCTAGAATGGAAAGGCATTGAAGGTGAGTGGAAGAGAAGAAACTGGATGTTAAAATAATAATAATGTAACAGTTATTCATTCACATGACCAGACCCCAGGGCAGAAGACTAATAGATGAGAAGATAATTATGTTCCTTTGAAATAAAATGTCAACACTCAAATATTGTATTTTTCTGTAAAAAATAAATGAACGGGTCTTGGAAGGAAGTGCTCCTAATGATGTAGTTTACATATTAATGCTTAATAAGCCATTTTATTTACTCAACAAATATTTACTGAGGACTTATAATCAATAATGCCAAGCCCTATTGAATACAGGAATCTGATATGCACATAGAATTGAAAAGACAAAATGAACAAAAGAAACAGACAGTATATCATTTCTGTTTCCTCCACTGTTTTCATTACCAAAGAAACAAGCTGCAGTACACGAGAGCTGCTTCCAGGGGAGCGGGAGAAGCAGCATTCATTTCACTGAGACCTGGGTTTGAGTTCTCTGTTTTTGAATGTGACCCAGAGCTCATTGCTTAAATGTGAGTGATGATTCGTGCCAGGCCACCCTCATAGCAGCGCTCTGAGAGAAACATAAGGGGGTGGATCCAGGTGTGAGCAAGAGCCTAGACATGTGTCAGGTACTTACCTAAACATGGATGTTTAGGTCACTGACATACTGATACCATCAAGCTAATTCTTCTCTGTTAGTCTCTATATCAGTAAGGCTACATGCCAGTAATGTGTATTAAATATTACCTTGTGGTGAGTATCAATTTAACCCTAAAATGTTAATTTATTCCCTTTGGTGGTTAAGTTACTTGGACTACCATCATGATGCCTCTGTGTCCCCTCACTCAGGAGGTATGAAAGCTTCTCTAAGGAAGGAGCAGTGGTCTGGTCTCAGTGTGGCAGCAGACAAAGCCAGGCTTGCACTTAATTCTGTTGAATTCTTTCTGTCTGGTATGGCCTCAAAAGGTGCAGAATGATCATAAATACCTTTCGACAGTCACCTTTGGTTTTTGCCCTTGCCAACACCTAGCACTTGTAGGTGCTGCTGGTTTAAGGAACTTGGAGTATTGAGGGCTTTGACAGAAGTCTTCCTGAACTGTGCTTGGGACCAGGAAGGCAGGCAGGGCAAGCTTGGTCATTTCAGCTGTGCTGTGCCTGGGTGGGTGGAACCTGTGCCTTCTGATGCATCTTTCCTCCTCTGTCCCCCTCTGAGAACCCCTTGTCTGTGCTCAGATGGATGGGCAAATAGTCTCTTCTCCAACCCCCCAAACCCCCTTAGATTGGGTGAATTCAGTAAAATCAAAGCCTCAATTAGGCGATATAGGAAAAGAGGAATTTTCTGAATATAATTTTCTTTAGTAAAAGGCTTTTGGTCACCTGTTATAATTTCTTAATGTCTTTATGGAAAAAATAAGTTTCTCTTGAGCCTTTGGTGCACAAACAGAATCACCAGCCCTTGGAGGTGCATGTATCTAATGACAGAGCAGCCCGTAACTCGCGAGCATCAGGCTCACTTGTTCCTTGCTGTGACTGCCTCTGGGGGTGGAGGCTTTTGGGAGGCCCTGCACCATGGTGCAGAGGAAGACCCCTGACTTCTGGGAGCCCTGGGCAGGCCATGGGCACGGCTTTGCAGAGAAAGATGGACATGTCAGGAAGCATATTAGCTTAATAGATGAAGTGTGTGACCAGTGGAACTGGGTTTTATGGATTTATCTTTATCTTGCATATAAATCAGGGTGTGGGCTATATATGTTTGCCCATTTAATAAAAAAAACACACATTTCAAATGTTAAAATATAAAATATACCAGCAACAATAGCCAATTTGAAATACATGTTTTCAAAGTAACATTCATAATATCAATGAAGACATAAAATACTTACAAATGAAGAAAACCAGCAAACCATACTGAGGCAAGAAAGAAAACATGGGAGATTGGAGAGGTAGAGAGGTCTGGATGCTGTCCATGTGCCTCTGCCCAAATTACCGTATCATTTCAACATAAAACTGGCTTGTAAATTTTACTGGAATCTGGTAACCATGTATCATAAAGTATCTGGATATATACATGAGATAATTGGCAACTTTTTAAAAGAAGAGTAATGTCAAGTGATGTATGAAAATGTAACTGAAATGGATGGAACTCTTTGAAGAATAGACAGATAAATCAATAATAGAGATGGATAACCTACCAAAGACCCCGTGATAAATCAGCATGAAATAGCCAAGGCAGGAGGAAGCATAAGACAGGAATGGTATTGGAAGAATCGATCAGGCATTTAAGATAATCAGTTTATATTATCAACTCCTTATAGACTAGGATAAATTGCCGGGAAATGAAAGAGTTATATTTTTATACCTCCAACCACAATAACTAGATGTAAATATAGATCCAGCTATGCAGGATACAAAGTTGTATTTTCTTTTTTTTTTTTTTTTTTTTTTTTTTTTGAGACGCTCTGTCGCCCAGGCTGGAGTGCAGTGGCGCGATCTCGGCTCACTGCAAGCTCCGCCTCCTGGGTTTACGCCATTCTCCTGCCTCAGCCTCCCGAGTAGCTGGGACTACAGGCGCTGGCCCCTTCGCCGGGTTGTTTTTTTGTGTTTTTAGTAGAGACGGGGTTTCACCGTGTTAGCCAGGATGGTCTCAATCTCCTGACCTCGTGATCTACCCGTCTCGGCCTCCCAAAGTGCTGGGATTACAGGCTTGAGCAAAGTTGTATTTTCAATTTTGGAAAGGGATGACATAGAGCAATCAAGAGTGACTAGAAATGGCCCACACATCAACATTTGCCTTTCTAATTTCTAAATTTTCTACAATAGTCGGGATGCTTTGATTTTCAGGAGTTTGCTGTGTGCTCAGGGATAAGGGACTCTGGGTTTTTCTCCACATTGCCCAGATCTGCTGGAGGTTCTTGGGGGCCACATTTTTGTATCTCAGTTCACTGTGCCGGTCCATGAAGTCAGACATTAGGTCAGACAGTTCTTTGCATCTCAGACGGCTGCTGTTAGAGACTGACGGACGTAGTGGATTTAGGAGTATTATGAAAAGTTCAAAGGACTTGTCAAAGGGACATCAATACTTAATCCCAGTCCAGTCTCTGGCGATGGTGGTAGTGTCTGTGCATTTGGACTTAAAGAGGATGATGTGTGGTGAGCAGCTGTTGGAGGAAGAAGCATTTGCACGTAGCTGGTCGTTGGCATTGCTGTGGCTGCCTCTGCCTGTCTGGCAGTGTTGCTGGGAAGATTAGAATTAATCTCTAGGAAGGGCCTAGGTCTTGTAGGCACTTAACAAATGTCAGATTTAACATTGGAGCGACTGAACCCTTTAAATGTAAGCCTTTCTAAACTGGCCTCTCTAACTGTCTTTGACTTTAGTCATTAAAGAAGAAACTAATCACAGTGAAATGGCAGAAGACCTGTGCAAGATAGGATCAGAGAGATCTCTCGTGCTGGACAGACTAGCAAGTAACGTCGCCAAACGTAAGAGTTCTATGCCTCAGAAATTTCTTGGTAAGAGTTAAATGTTTGCTGTCTCTTAAAAAAAAACTATGTGGGTGTTTTAGTTGCAAGTAGAAATTAGTTGAGGGTAGAAGAAAGGGAAAAAAATCTTAATTTTTCAAAAGCAAAAATTGGTAAGCTTAACATTCCTTAAATATCTTAGAATTTTTTCCAATAAGTGTCTTAGAAATGACAAACCTCCCATCAGTTTTTCCTAGATGTGATTTTGCAGCATCTGGGGGTGCACTGTGATCTGCCTGTGGACATCGCTCCTAGGGGCGGCTGCACCAGCGTGCACAGGGTGGAGAGTTTGGGCCTGGCTTGGCTGGGGGACACCACACTGCAGGACACTCCAGGCCTGGCCGGTTTCTCAGAGCTTCAGATCCTCATTTTTCACATGAAGCTCTTAACTCTCCCCTTATGGGGGACTCTGAAGAGTTAATGGGAAGACTCATACAGTGACTGGCCCCTGAGAAGTGTCCAGTGAAGACAGGGCTTAGCTAGGATTGCTGTTTTGCCTAATGCTTTGTGTGATTAAAAAAAAAAAAAAAGAAGAAGAAGAAGAAGACCATCCTTCTCTCTAGGAGTAATGCCCAGAGTAGGTGATAGACGCATCAACACCATCATCCAGCCAGACGCTGCAGGGACGGCAAGCCAGGGTCCAAGTGGAAAGGCGGTAGGCTTGGGAACCAGCTCAGAGTCAATACACAGCCACTGCCACTCGCCAACTCTGTCACCTTAGTAAAATGGCTCTCCCCCTAGAGCCTTGATTCCATGCTTTAGTATCCTCACAGGGTGTTTGTGAACATCCCATGACTCCGAGATTGTGAAAACATTTGGAATCCCTCGGGGTGAAGGTTAACTCTGTCCAGGAAAGAGGACCAGTAAAAGCTTCATGAGGCTGAGAGGCACCTTGGAAGAAGAATAGGGTTTCAGCACATTCTAGGTGTTGGAGGAATGGGGGAATCTAGGCAGATGTTTAAGATCAATGAGAAACCATGCTGACCACGAGGGCTGGAGTGGGGGCCTAAGGACTTGACAGAAGAGCAGGGCATCTTCCCAGCATAACTCAGGTGCCCTTGGGGAAGCAGGAAAAGCAAAGGTGTCCTAGGCAGCTGTGCCACAGGATGAATGGCTTCAGATACCAGGTGAGAGAAGAACCCTTCATTCAGTCAGCAGGAAAGAAGCATTGCCTTATTTTTCATGAGAGCGATGGCTAGGATAGTAAAGACATCAAGTACCAAAATATGACTGGAAAAGGGAGAGTGCAGAGGCGGTGGCAGCAGGCATGGAAAGAGGGGCTTGTGAAGGAGAAGGGCTGCCGTCAGAGGAACATACGGCTGAAGGCAGGGATCGGGTGAGGGAAACCATGAGTCACACTGACTCCAGTAGAATAGTGTGCCCTTGATGAAAAGGGTAACACCAGGTTCTGGGAAAAGACGGGGTTCTGTTTTTGACGTGTTGATTTTCAAGGACTTCTGGTGTCTGTGACACATGGGGAAATTGTGGTGGGAGAGAGGTGGGGCCAGAACAGGGGCTGGTGAGGCCAAGGGTCCCAGAGGGCACCTGTTGACCTGCAGGATGACAGGAAGGGGGAAGGACAGAGACAAGACCAAGTCCTGGGCACCAGCCTCCCTCTTGCAGCTTCAAACAGGGCTCCATTTTGACCTTTTGATTAATTAGAGATTTGTCATAGGGTGGGGGTTGAGAGGAGCAAGGGAGAGAAGGATTCAGTGTACATAAAGTATGAAAGTCACTGGCTTAGCCAGTGGGGAGTTGTCCACATACACTTGAGCCTTTAGACCATGAGAACGAGGGAGGCCTTGCCATCCTGAATGGAGTAGGAGTGAAGTCCTGTGCTGAGCATAAGCTGTGGGATTCTAGCAGCACTGGGCACAGGGCCCAGCATCTGCTTGGAGGCCCCTGGGGTGGACACAGTGACAGAGAGATGGGTGGTGACTGGGATTTGGGCAGAGATAAAGCAGCGAGTGTGTGCAAGGGGAGTGAAGAGTTACTGCCCTTAAGAAGCAGGGACGGCATCCTCTGTCAGGTGAGGAGCCTGGAGAATGCTTTGGTGAATGAACATTTGCAGCCCCTTTTAGCTTTTGGAGACTTGAAACCAAACGAGAAATTCATCTGTGAAACTCTCCTGGAGCCACTCCCCAACCCCCACCCTTGTGAGACCACAATGTGGGCGTTGGCTTGAGATGCTTCTGTGTTAGTAGAAGAAATAAACAACACAGTGCTCTGATGAGGCAAGGCGAAGATGAAAAAGGAGTACCCAGGGGACGTAGTAGGAACAGTGGACGAGGGTAGCAGAAGAGGAGTTTGGAGCAACAGACTCACAAGCAGCTGCATAATCTGTTGGTGATTGGCAGTTCATTTGTAAAAATGATGCCTCTTCCTGCCCTAAAATGCCTATCTTACCCCCGCTTCAACTTGATGAGATTTCCATCAGTCACTCCCAATGTGTCACGGCTTCTGCAGCCCTAAAATTAAGAGGTGAGTGAGTCTCTAAGGCCCCTCTCGGCTTCTTGGATGCTGAGTTTAGCCTTCATGTGAACGTGGAAAGAGAGTAGGAATACAGCTGTTCTCACACAAGTTGGCCCAATAGTGGTTCAGTTGGAAGAGCCCCATGCTTCAGAGTCAGCTCCAGCTAGGAGTGACTGGTGGCCTTGAGCGTGATGCTGGGCTTAGTGTTGCCATCTGTGGGATGGGTGTGGGTCTGTTGCCCTGCCTCCTCCCAGAGCTGTCCTGAGGCTCAGAAGGGGTGATGGATGTGATGGTGCTCCCAACACTAGAAAGCATCTTAAGAATGTAAGATGATATGATTTTCATGATGACTATTGCTCAGAGTGGCATATAGTTTTGCTTTATTGATCCATAACCTATGATTAAAATTTTCTCCTTAAACTTTGACATGAGTGTGAATGAGTATTTGTTTTGCCAGCAACATTCCTCACCACTGGGGCCATTAAAGATTTCCCCCTCTGAGATCATCAAATACAGGTCAACAGGACTGATTAATCTAATTAGAAAAGGGCTTATATTAAATAGCAATGATAATTGTTGTTTTTAGTCTGTCTGGTGCTTGACTTGGGAACATTTTTGAAATAGAGAAAAACACAAAGAGGAAAACAACAATTACCAATATTTGTGCTACCCATTATAATTATGTAGGTATATTTTCTTCTTTTGTAAGAAAAAGAAACCCTGTTATATTGTTAAAATAACACAAAGTTAATATAAAGAATTTTAATGCAAAGATTAATGTTTTCAAATCACCACAAAGCCCAACATCCAGAAATTACCAATATTAAAAGTAGATAAGTAACATTCTAAATATCTTCTGATGCATATGTATGTGAGTGGATAGGCTGATGAACTAGGTGGATTGATGGATTGGTAAATATGAAATACTTTCATAAAGATTCCAACATATCATACATGCCTTAAATTCAAGAGGTGAAGAGAGACCCGAACAAAAGTGAAGTGGCTTATCTTAAATATCCTCTCACATAAAGGAATATTATTTTTAAAGGATCCCCTAAGATTAAAAATATGTATTATGAAAAACATTAAGAAATTTGAATTTTTTTAATCCAGTTGTTTCAAGTTAAGCAGTATTTACTGGCTCACTGCTTTGAAAAATAAGGACAGTATTCCAGTTCACATTCAGTGTTCCAGTGTTCACATTATCTTATTATTTTTACATTGTCCAGCTTTGTAATATTCACACTCTATTCTGTAATCATAATTCATAGTAGTTTATTTATTACTAACGCTATTTAAATAGATTCAAAGATCAGACCCTACCCTTTTATTCTTATTTCTGTTTATTTTGATTAATCTCTTAATTGATTGGACTTTACATTCAAGCAACTTTTTTAAAAAAGGTTTCTGTAGATGTTCTATTTCTATCACTGTATTGTGTTTGAGGATGTTGGCCTGTTGCCTTCGTATTTGACGAGCATTTTGACAGAGTCTATGATCTTGGGCCACTCTTTCTTTTTCTCCCTTGAGAACTTTTTAGATTTTGCTGATGGCCCTTCTTGTTGAATGTTGCTGTGGAAACATCAAGTCTAGTATAACTGTTTCTTCTTCAAGGTGATTTGCATTTTATTCCTGAATGCCTGAGGGTTCTTTCTTTAACCTTGAAGTTAAATACCCTAATTAGGATGTATCTTGGTCTATTCATTCTGAATAAAAAATACCTGCCATTTAATCTAGAAAGTCCCTTTTTATTCTCTCTTTATTTCTGGGAAATTCTCTTTTATATAAATATGTTTTGTTCCATCTATTGTGATCTCTGTTGAGGGATACCAGTTGTCCATATGTTAGATAATTTGTCTTCCATATCTGTTAACAGCTCTTTAAGTTTTTTGTTTATTTCTCTGTCTATTTTTACATTTACTCACTGTTCTCTTGTGGTTTTCCTCTGTCAGTAATTTAATTTTTAGTAGTTCCTGTTCTATTACTAACTCTATTTAAATAGATTTAAGGATCAGACCCTGCCCTTTTATTCTTATTTCTATTTTGATTAATCTCTTAATTGATTGGACGTTACATTCAAGCAACTTTTTTTAAAAAGTTTCTATAAATGTTCTGTTTCTATCATTGTATTGTGTTTGAGGATGTATTTTTAATCCATGCATTAATTCTGTAATAATATTATTTTGCTCCTTGTCTTCTCTCCTGAGATCCGAAATCTCTTTCTTCCTCTTATTCTGTTGCTTTTGTATTTTATTTTGAATATTTTTAAAATTGATTCCATGTTATGAAGCAGTTATGAGGCATTTCCTCTCTTCTTGGAATTAAGGATTTTTTCCCCTAGGAGGGACTCGATGGTCTGTGTTTTACTTCCTTTCTTTCCCTGTATTTCTAGAAAATATTTTCTTAGTAACCCTGACATTTCTTTTCGTCTTGCTTATTCTGCTTGGTCTGATATAGCTTGATTGACATTTCAGCCTTCTTCCCACTACATTTTTTTTTCCTGTGAGAGCTATTGAGTTTTCTAAATCCTGAAAGAATGACAAAGATGGGGTTGGAGGAGTCTGGTGAGGCAAAGTGCAGCCTTTGTTAAAATACTTTTCCTTTGCTCTCTCTCCCTCATCTGAAATTTAGTTACATACCCTAAGCCATCAGCACTGTACCTACTTGGGGAATGCTTTCATCCCCACAGGAGATTCTCTGGGGCTTCGAGCCATCTTCCTCTTCAGTGTAGACCACAGAGGACTTTGCTTCTGTCCCAGGGAGCCTGCAGGGGCTCACTTCTCCATGGTCATCTGATTCTTGTCAGCCAAGGTTTCAACTGCTTTTCTGATCAGAACAGGGAAAATATACCTATTTGAATCATGTCTTTATAGATATGAGGATATGAGGGAAACTGCTGAGGTTATTCTTGACTCACACCTAAAGATTTGGAAATGAGATGAGCAGCGAAGCTTTGCCCGACATCTCATTCCAGAATTTCTAGTCTTTGAGTGTGTGTCTGTGTGTACTCACACACACCATAATGAAATACATATTATATATAATTATGTTTATATATAATATTCTATGACTATACATGACCTGTTCCTTTAGCTGATTGCTGTTGGTGAAATTTAGAGGTTTTTATTTTTCTTGTTTCATTGGGTATTAAGGAAGAGAAATTCTATGGTAATTTTCATGTGCCACAGTAATCTGACATATATGTTGATTTTTTTCCTACACCCATTTGTTGTGATACCAAGTTTGAAAATAACAGATTTCAGGGTTGCTTGGGAAACCACACAACCATGCCTTGGGGAGAGACAGGATGATTAGGTGGGAAAGCACCCTTTTGGTGGGGCTGTAAAGACTTCTATATTTAGCAAAATTGGCTACAAAGTCCATTCCCCTCCATTTCTTGCGTTTCTTGATGTGATTTGGTAGAGGGATAGACTTGGATACAAACTAGAATGGATTCATTCTGTTCTGGAGTTAGTGTAACAAGACATTTAGCTGCTCGACACAAAAACAGAAACAAAAAATTTGTGTGGTTTCAGTAATGCTATACAATTACTTTTTCTGACCTTTAATGGAGAGAAACACCACTTCTTTGGTCCCTACCATCAGCTTCATAGGGGTTTCATCCTGTTCTGTTTCTGGAAGGGCGTAACTGGCCATGCACAAGTTTTCTTTCTGTAATCAGAGTATATGTCACTTCTGACCACCAGTAGATGAAAACAAACAGAAACTAGGCTATTATATGATACATACCCATTGCAAAATCAGACATGAAACTCAAAGGTACTTTATGGTATAATTGGGCATATATTCCTGGACAATTCTTAATGGTCACAGATTTTATAAAAGGACTATTAGTAAATGTATGAATTACAGAGTAGTTTATCCTTCTGTTAGTAAGAACCAGCTGATGACCTCAGTGTCAGGTGCAGCGTGGGAGGTGTTGGGACCTTCCCTTGCCACCACCCTCACCAGCCATCATCAGCCATAACCTGCACATTGGGGAAGTTTTGAATTATCCCTCACCTTTGCCCCTCTTCAAGCTGTTCTTTCCACAGTGAATGAGAAGGCCACTTCTTCCTTCAAACCATTCATTGGTTTCCATTCTCTTTTAGACAAAGTCTCTGCCTAGCTGGCCTCTGCCTGCCCCTCCTGCCTACCTCTCCAGCACTGCCCCCACCTAGGGCTCTGGTTCCCCAACCTTCACTCAGTCCTGCCACACCTCCCAGCCCGTTCTCCCTTCAGAAACTTCCTTCTTGTTGTCCCCAACACTGGGACACAAAACCCTCCTTGTCTGACTGACTCTTACAAGATCAGAAACCTGTGTAATGCTCTCATAGCAAGCTCCCCTTGTCTTCATGGATTTCTCAGATGGGAAGGAATTACCTGTGCAATCATGCATGAACTTCTACCTACCCTCCCTTAGTAGCTGTCTGCTGCGAAGGATGGGGACCATTCTCACTTGCTCACCATTCTGTCCCTCTGCCCAGTCCAGATGTGTTGAAGGATGGAAATATACAGAGTAGTGGTAAAATATAAACCATTCAGACATTCCAAGGATGGGCTTATGTGCTTTGACTCATTTATGTACCACCACTGAAAGTAGAACACAGCCGCAGTGTTGCCAGTAAGAATGCAGACAGTTACTGTAATTAATGAATTTGCTAATTAAGCCATGATTTCATACCGAACTTATGACCAACATATTGAGAAGGTGTGCCTTCAAGGAAATTTATTTTTTGTATTACGATATTTACTACAAAGCTAATTGAAGAAGCCCAATCTAGGCTCTGATTTCACCATTGCCAGGGAAATGAGTTCACGGACTCCTATGAACTGATGATGATAGATCAGAAGTGTCTCGAGACCAGGGCCCAATCACTGCTGAGGCCTCAGCAGTAGTTCCTTGTACATCAAGAATTCTCAGTACTTTTTAAAAATAACAGATGAATAACAACTATTTTCCCTGTAGCTCCCTTGCTATGCCTCCTACCCTCCACCACATGTTTCTGGGGAGCCCTGCTTCAGGCCTGCCAACTACAGATAATTACTTTTGAGTATCCTTTCCACTCTCATCACAAGACAGAGCTCATCTACCTTTGGGTTATTTGTCAAAAATGTGTCATTTTATTACAAAAATAAACAATCATCATGTATTTTGTTTAAATTTTACACTAGATTATTAAAAGTATTAAATACAATTATTAAAATAATTAATTTAACATTATATCACATATTTTAAATATATTGTATATAATGAATAAATTATTATGTATTTTAATTCAATAAATGTATAAGTTAGCCAGTTGTAAATTACTGAGAACACTCTACTGAAAAAGCATAATTTAAAATACACTACTTAAAATATTAAATGAAATACAATAACATAATTAAATTAATCTTGTGTTCCCCTATTTATTTATTCATTTATCCAACAAAATCTCTTTAAGTGCCTATGATGGGTGGGTCCTGGCTTGGTGCCCCCTAAACAGATGCATGGGCCTTCCCCCAGCCCGTCAGTGTGGTGCAGGTGTGATGTGTCCGCAGGTGTGTGTGTATGTGTGCAGGTGTGGGGTCCGCAGGCGTGCTGGGCCCCCAGGCGGTGTTCCCCCTTCCCTCCCCGGGTGTAGATTTCAGCTGTTGCTGCGGGACCTGACTGGTTCCGGAGGTGGCCGCGCCCCACTCACTGTCGCCTGCTTTCCACAGGGGACAAGGGCCTGTCCGACACGCCCTACGACAGCAGCGCCAGCTACGAGAAGGAGAACGAAATGATGAAGTCCCACGTGATGGACCAAGCCATCAACAACGCCATCAACTACCTGGGGGCCGAGTCCCTGCGCCCGCTGGTGCAGACGCCCCCGGGCGGCTCCGAGGTGGTCCCGGTCATCAGCCCCATGTACCAGCTGCACAAGCCGCTCGCGGAGGGCACCCCGCGCTCCAACCACTCGGCCCAGGACAGCGCCGTGGAGAACCTGCTGCTGCTCTCCAAGGCCAAGTTGGTGCCCTCGGAGCGCGAGGCGTCCCCGAGCAACAGCTGCCAAGACTCCACGGACACCGAGAGCAACAACGAGGAGCAGCGCAGCGGCCTCATCTACCTGACCAACCACATCGCCCCGCACGCGCGCAACGGGCTCTCGCTCAAGGAGGAGCACCGCGCCTACGACCTGCTGCGCGCCGCCTCCGAGAACTCGCAGGACGCGCTCCGCGTGGTCAGCACCAGCGGGGAGCAGATGAAGGTGTACAAGTGCGAACACTGCCGGGTGCTCTTCCTGGATCACGTCATGTACACCATCCACATGGGCTGCCACGGCTTCCGTGATCCTTTTGAGTGCAACATGTGCGGCTACCACAGCCAGGACCGGTACGAGTTCTCGTCGCACATAACGCGAGGGGAGCACCGCTTCCACATGAGCTAAAGCCCTCCCGACCCCCGCCCCACCTAGCCATCCCAGGAAAAGCACAAGGACTGCCGCCTTCTCGCTCCCGCCAGCAGCATAGACTGGACTGGACCAGATAATGTTGTGTTTGGATTTGTAGCTGTTTTTGTTTTTTGTTTGAGTTGGTTGATTGGGGTTTGATTTGCTTTTAAAAAGATTTTTATTTTTAGAGGCAGGGCTGCATTGGGAGCATCCATAACTGCTACCTTCCTAGATGTTTCCCCAGACTGCTGACTGAGAGTCCCTCACCTGTTGCTTCCTAGAATCCCCTTCTCCAAGCGATTAGTCTAAATTTTCGAAGAGAAATAGATAAAACACGGCACAGCCTGGGAAGGAACGTGATCGTCCCTGTTCTAAGCACTGGGTTTGCGCACCAGGTGTCTTTTTCCAGTCCCCAGAAGCAGAGAGCACAGCCCCTGCCGTGTGGCTCTGCAGGTGAGCAGACAGGACAGGTGTGCCGCCACCCAAGTGCCAAGACAGCAGGGCCAACAACCTGTGCCCAGGCCAGTTTCGGGCCACATGCATCTAAGGCGGAGAGGCTACACTGTTGAGAGAAAATACTATTTTAAGTCATATTCTGCGTAGGAAAATGAGTTGTTTGGGGAAAGTTGTGTCTGTCAGACTGCCCTGGGTGGAGGGAGACGCTGGGCTAGAGCCTTTGGGATACTCCTGGATTCGCTGGCTTTGCGGAGGCTGCTCAGATGGCCTGAGCCTCCGGAGGCTTGCTGCCCCGTAGGAGGAGCCTGTCTTCCCGTGGGCATATCTGGGGAGCCCTGTTCCCCGCTTTTTCACTCCCATGTGTTTAATGGCCCCCAAAGTCTGTCACTACAATTTAAACACCAGTCCCGAGGTTTGGATCTTAATTCTTTTTGAACCTCTCAAATGGCAACATTCCTCAGAAACCAAAGCTTTATTTCAAATCTCTTCCTTCCCTGGCTGGTTCCATCTAATACCAGAAACCTCTTTTCCTGAGGAAATTCAATCCTGGCCCTCATTTTAATTATGTACATCTGTTTGTAGCCACAAGCCTGAATTTCTCAGTGTTGGTAAGTTTCTTTACCTACCGTCACTGTATATTATTCTCGTTTTAAAACCCATAAAGGAGTGATTTAGAATGATCATTAATTTTCAGCTCAATGAAATACGTGAAGCCCAGCATCTCTGTTGCTAACACACTGAACTCATCTGTTTGAAACTAAGCTGTCAAACATGTTGAAGCTCTTTACTGTAAAGGCAAGCCACCATGTGTGTCTACACATACATAGGATGGCTGGCCCCGCGCCTGTAAGATATTGGAATGCACAGGGCAATCGAGGGACTGAGCCAGACCTTCGGAGAGTAATGCTACCAGATCCCCCAGAAAAGAGGAGGCAGGTGGCACTGCAGGTGAGAACCCTACCCGTCCATATTATGACATGGAGGCACTGAAGCCCAAGGAAGGTGTGTGGAGATTCTAATCCCAACCAGCAAGGGTCTCCTTCAAGATTAATGCTATCATTAAGGTCATTACTCTCAACCACCTGGGCAATGAAGAATATACCATTTCAAATATTTACAGTACTTGTCTTCACCAACACTGTCCCAAGATGAAATGAAGCAACAGAGAGGAAATTGTACATAAGCACCTCAGCATTTAATCCAAACAGGGGTTCTTAGTCTCAGCACTATGACATTTTGGGCTGAATACTTATTTGTTAGGCAGGAGCTCTCCTGTGCATTGTAGGATAATTAGCAGCATCCCTGGTCACTACCCAATAGACGCCAGTAGCACCCCAAATTGACAACCCAAACTCTCCAGACATCTCCAACTGTCCCCTGTGAGGAGAAATCACTCTTGGTGGAGAACCACTGACCCAACTGAATTCTAAACCAATCAAAAGTCTGGGAAGCCCTCCCTCTCTCCCAAAAAAATAAAAAATAAAAAAGCACTTGAAGAATATTCTCAATATTCCCAGTCAGCAGTATCAAACCTGACTTGTGTTCCTGTGGAATCATTATAAATTCTATAAATGAATTATTCCCCTTCAGTCTTCAAAAATATATTTCCTCATAAACATTTGAGTTTTGTTGAAAGGATGGAGTTTACAAAGATACCATTCTTGAGTCATGGATTTCTCTGCTCACAGAAGGGTGTGGCATTTGGAAACTGGAATAAACAAAATGGCCGCAACAATGCACTGAGTGAAGGAAGAGAGAGAGAGGAGCCAAGGGCTTTAGACAGTCCTCCTTCAATATGCAATTACAGAGAAAGATGCGCCTTATCCAAGTTAATATCTGTAAGGTGAGAGCCTTCTTAGAGTCAGTTTGTTGCAAATTTCACCTACTCTGTTCTTTTCCATCTATCCCCCTGAGTCAGTTGGTTGAAGGGAGTTATTTTTTCAAGTGGAATTCAAACAAAGCTCAAACCAGAACTGTAAATAGTGGTTGCAGGAATTCTTCTCTAAACTGCTTTGCCCTTTCCTCTCACTGCCTTTTATAGCCAATATAAATGTCTCTTTGCACACCTTTTTTTGTGGTTTTATATTGTAACACCATTTTTCTTTGAAACTATTGTATTTAAAGTAAGGTTTCATATTATGTCAGCAAGTAATTAACTTATGTTTAAAAGGTGACCATATCATGTACCAAAAGTTGCTGAAGTTTCTCTTCTAGCTGGTAAAGTAGGAGTTTGCATGACTTCACACTTTTTGTTGCGTAGTTTGTTCTGTTGTATGATGGCGTGTGTGTGTGTCTTGGGTACTACTGTGTACTACTGTGTGCCTAGATTCCATGCACTCTCATTGTGTTTGAAGTAAATATTAGAGACGGGACGGTAACTCATAACAGGTTGGCCTGTTGATTACAGCTAGTAATTGCTGTTTCTTGTTCCTCCCCCTCTCTGACACCCCAGCTTCCCAAGATGTGGAAAGCCTGGATCTCAGCTCCTTGCCCCATATTCCTTCTGTAATTTGTACCTAACGAGTGTGATTATCCTAATTCAAGAGTCACTAAAAATCATCACATTATCATTGCATATCAGCAAAGGGTAAAGTCCCAGCACCAGTTGCTTCACATACCAGCATGTTCCATTTCCAATTTAGAATTAGCCACATAATAAAATCTTAGAATCTTCCTTGAGAAAGAGCTGCCTGAGATGTAGGTTTGTTGTTATATGGTTCCCACCCCCCCAATTTTTGTGCTTTTTTCTTGTTTTGTTTTGTTTTGTTTTGACTGCACTGTGAGTTTTGTAGCGTCCTCTTCTTGCCAAAACAAACGCGAGATGAACTGGACTTACGTAGACAAATCATGACACCAGTGTATCCTTCCTTTCTTCAGTTCCAGCAATAATGAATGGTCAACTCTTTTAAAATCTAGATCTCTCTCATTCATTTCAATGTATTTTTACTTTAAGATGAACCAAAATTATTAGACTTATTTAAGATGTACAGGCATCAGAAAAAAGAAGCACATAATGCTTTTGGTGCAATGGCACTCACTGTGAACATGTGTAACCACATATTAATATGCAATATTGTTTCCAATACTTTCTAATACACTTTTTTATAATGTTGTGTGTGGTGATTGTTCAGGTCGAATCTGTTGTATCCAGTACAGCTTTAGGTCTTCAGCTGCCCTTCTGGCGAGTACATGCACAGGATTGTAAATGAGAAATGCAGTCATATTTCCAATCTGCCTCTATGATGATGTTAAATTATTGCTGTTTAGCTGTGAACAAGGGATGTACCACTGGAGGAATAGAGTATCCTTTTGTACACATTTTGAAATGCTTCTTCTGTAGTGATAGAACAAATAAATGCAACAAATACTCTGTCTGCCCTATCCCGTGAAGTCCACACTAGCATGAGAGAAGGCCCATCAGAGCAGGAATCTGCCGAGACTTCCTCCCAGTGAGATCCCAGTATGAGAGGGAGAAGAGATGGACCTCGGGACAGCTGCAATACCACTTGGGAACACATGTGGTATCTTAATGTGGCCGGCGCAGCACTTCAGCGCGACAGACCTCCCGTCTACAACAGTGCTGGACGTGGGCATTCTGGGCCCCAGTCTGGAGGGTGGGTAGAGATAGAGGGCAACAAGAGATACATTTCCAGTTCTCCACTGCAGCATGCTTCAGTCATTCTGTGAGTGACCGGACCCAGGGTGGTGGGAGCACAGAGGACAGAGTGACCACAGCGAGTACACCTTCAGCATAGGCAGTTTGCAGAGCCACATGCTATGCCAGGACTGAGCCAGTGATGGGAGGTTTGCCTGAGCTCTGTCACGGAATTGTACTACAACAGACTCTCTGTGGTGAAAATCCTTGTCCCTTTTGGATGAATAGCCAGACATCATTTGGGTTCAGATCTAGCAAATCAAGTGAGGTGACTACCTTTAATGTGGCACAACATCAGACCCAAACAAGATGAAACTCTAGTGACATAAACAGTGTATTGGGTTTCACATCCGGGCCTGGCACCACTACCCAAGAAGGACTTTTTAAAATATCTTTGCCAAGGCAGCATCTTTAGGAGAACTTTTCAGCCTCTTTAGGTTGCCTCATTGAGGGATCATGTTTTATACATGTACATATACATATAATGATACATCTGTTTGCAAATTTGTCCAGTCATTTTTATAGCTACACCCTGCACATTTCCAGTGATCATGGTGCAAAAAATAATAATAATAAAGAATACCTACAGTTAGTTAAAAATAACCTGGACTCAAACTAAGAGGAAAAAGTAATTCAGAAGGGTGAGAGGTAGGACAAGAGGGTGAGAAATATGTTGATGTATATTTTTGTAAAACTGTATGGTACAGCCTAGCAGCTCAATGCCTTAGGAAGCTAGACCAGCAATGTAGTGACATAAAAGAGAGGTTCCAAAACTCTTTTAGGAGCCATGGGGAGGATGACAGCCTTCATTTCTTGGTTTTCAGTACCTTGTCTTTTACAAAGTCATAAGAATTATCCTCAACATAGCCTTTGACGCTGTAAATCTTGAGTATTCATTTACCTTCTTCTGATCTCCTGGAAACAGCTGCCTGCCTGCACTTCTCTTCCTGATGAGTGGGGTAAATTTAAAAGTCAAGCTATAGTTTGGATGTTAGTATAGAACTCTGGAATTGGGAATTAAAAATCAGGACTGGGGACTGGGAGACCAAAAATTCCTGATCCCATTTCTGATGGATTTGTCACAAATTTTCTGTCAAAATAAAATGTCTTGGAGGTTATGACTCCTTGGTGAAACCTTCTCACATTCTCATTGGAAGCACGTGGGTTCTCAAGGAACAGAATCCCTTTGGCTGTTTCCAAAACTCATGTCTTTTCTTTTATGGCCTCACAACTCCAACACAGGGCCGGGCACAAAAGAGACACTCAAGGGATTGATTGAGCAATTGGTAAAAGACCCGGAGGAAGTTCTCAGACAACCAAAGCAGAAACTCCACATTCCTCCAAAGCCCAGGACATCTTTCTGAAAACTTCTGGCCTTTTCTTTGCACCAGAACCCAGAACAGGCTGGCACAGGGTTGCTGTGCAGAGCTGAAGTCAAAATGTTGCTGTTGCCTGCACAGATCTGTCTTCTCTGACTTCTTGCAAATCATCCGCCCCTAACTTCCTCTAAGAAGGCAGAAAGGGATTCCCCGTGGCTCTTAGAATAGCAACCCTGCCCTCAGCATCCTAGGCTCCCACCGGCTTTTCCTGCCATTAAACAGGCTTTAACAAAACCAACCCCCGGTTTTGAGCTGCCATGAGACTCCCTCACTGACTCCAGCCTTGCCCAGGCTCCAGTGCCTCCAAAGATCTCCTAGGACTTTATTTCCCAAATGCAGCTTGTAATCACCCAAGTGGCTGTTAAAAATGCAGCTTTCAGAAGCCTCCTCCTGAACATTCTGGAGCTGGAGGTCTGGACACAGCCCACCCTTGAGGTGTGGGACCAGCCCCCAAGTCGTGCTAAGCACACTCCCAATCCATTCCTCCTTGAGACAGTTACAGCCTTGCCTCTCTTCCTGAGCCCAAACCCATTTTTGGAATGGAGAGACGGAACCAATAATAGTCTCTTTTTTTTTTTCCTCCTGAGTTTCAAACAACCCAGATATTATAGATAAAAGAATCAAGAAGTGGGAAACCAAAAAACTAGCTTTCTTACTCATAAACCAAGTTGAGAGGACACAGCTTCACAGTGTGACCCCAGCGGGCATTACACTCGTCCTGCGTTAGACAGATTTGCCTACCCGGCCACAGGTAGCAATTAAGCTCAGGAGGCCCCAGCAAAGGCTGAACGCCTGCCCTGCAGGACGGGGAGAGGGTACCAGAACCTACACCCTGTAGGCAGCAGACCCCCATGGAGCAAGAGGAAGCGCACTCGGTTCCTACATCCAGACTCAAGTCCAGGCCACTCCTTTCCTCCTGGGGTCCAGCAAAGGGCTTTACCAGAGTCCATCCACATGGAAACAGGGGTGAGAAAATTGAGTCCACAGCCATCCCTGCATCACTCCCTGGATCTCAGCCTGTTTCCCCTAATGGAGAAGCCAAGCCTGTTCACCTGGCCCTCCGTGGTCCACTAAGATGGAAGGCCATGCCCCAGCTGCCACTGGTGTCCACAATGACCCTCAGTGTCACACAGTCTCTCTCCCTGTCCGTCCTTCAATGGGAGCCTCCTAAAGGCCTCCTTACCTCCTGAGTCTCCTTTCTCCTACCCAGACTTTTGACTTCTCAATAGTGATTGTGTTAAAGCAGGAACCTGATCAATCACTGACCCTACCCTGCACACAGATCTCCCCTGGTTTCCTGCTACTCCAAAGCCAAGTGCCATTTCCTCAACCAGGAGCACAAGGTGGCCCTGCCTTAGAGGTATCCCTCTGGGCATGTTGAGATGTACATAAGGCATGGTGGTTAGGAACGGGACTCTGGAGCCACTAAGCCTGGGTGTGAATATCTGCTCTGTACATTAAGGCTGTGTGATATTGGACACATGGCCTAACCTCTCTGAGCCCCAGTTTTCTCCTCACTGAAAGCCTGGAGGGTTATAGTGAGGATTAAATCCTCAGTGTCTGTGGAGCACTGGGCTCAATGCTGCAGGAGTGGCTGCTCAGCCTTTCCTGCCTCACCCGGCATTTGTATAGCACCTTCTAGCCCCCTTATCTCATTCCAGCTGCATGACAGCCAAGTGAGACAGGAGCACAACCACATCCCCCTTAGAGATCAGACAGTTGTGTCTGGGAAGCAACAAACCTCCTTCTCAGCCATCACCATGCTGGGCATGTTCTGCATGAGCCTGGGGAAGATGATATGTGCCCCACTGTAAAGTGAAAGAACTGCATCTCAGGGCTCCACAGAGCACCCAGAGTCCAGTGCAGCAGAGGCAGAATAGTCCCAGGCCCCTTGGGCCCATTCTTCTCCTGGCTCCCATTCCATCTCAGCAGTGCTTCCTCCAGGGAGGATGTGGGATTGGATACACAGGAATGACAGGGTTTGGCAATCCCATCGCTTCTGAATTCCAGGGCGGGGAGAAGAAAGACGCGGGTGAAAACCTGCTTTCAGAGGATTTTCCCTTGGCTGCCTCCTCAACCAAACTCACCCACAAATTGCACATCAAGTTTCCCAGCCTCCACCTTGGGGAGCAGGCTCTTTCACTTCAGAGAATTCAGAGGCGTCTCGAGGGGCATATGCCAGGGCAGGCACAGAGCGAGGAGGTGGGGTTGGGGGTTGTGGACAGCTCTGGTCCCCTCCGGCCCCACAGAGCACACAAGGCAGCTGACACTGCTGGAGAGCTGGTCCCTGAAAGGATGGAGAATGCATGAATCTGAACTAGAAACAGAAAGGCAGGAGGAGCAGGAAAAGAAATGAGGGCCAAACAGAGTCTGAGCAATGAAGGGATATTTCAGAGCGCTGGAAACACAAGCTAAGCTAAGCAGCAGGGGACTGGGAGAGCTCTGCAAAATATCAGGGAGCCTAGAGGTATCTAGTCAAAGATGAGTGCAATTGCAACCAACAAACTCAAGACCAAGGACAAGAGCAGGGGCATTTCCCCAATTACACAGTGCCCCTGCCCCCAACACACAATGACACATTTGACTTTTGACTTCATTCTGCTCTCTCCGCACTGCATCTTATCCCTAGCTCTTCTCAATCTTAAGATCCTTCATTGATTTGTTGAATAACTTGAGCTGCAAAGGGGAGACTGGGAAGTTGGAAATAAAGTAAATCAATTTCTCGTTGATAAAAGAGACATTCCTGACATCACATAATGACTTGACCCACTCACATCACATCGCTCCTGAGCCTTCGATGCCTGGCTATGTGCTGGGATCAAGGCTCACAGCATCACAGGGGTTGGGGACTGTAACCACCTGCTTGTGCCATGGGTACTCCCTGTCTGTCTCTACGAGTGCCATTGTCACCTCCAGTTCTGCAGATGAGGTCTTTGAAGCTTGGAAAAGCTGAGTAACCTGCCTGGGGTCACACAGCTGGAAAGTACTAGGACCAGCACTTGCCCCTGGGCACCTGGCTCCTGTGCCTGCACTCCAGAAAGCACAGGGAGAAATGACCCAGCACAAAGGTGATTAAAAAACAAAGTGCAATGAAAAGCGCTCTAAAGTGACAACGTGCTGTAAAAGCCGAGTGGAAGGAAACATCACTTCTTACTTGAGGATTACAGAAGGCTTCCTGGAAGAGATCTTGTCTGATCCCAGCTTTTCAGAATGATTGGGATTTTGACATTGGAAGCAGGGGGTTGGGAGTATAAGAAGAAGGGCATTCAAAACAGAACAAACATGAATGAAGTCTGTTGTATGTCAGAACCAGAGGTCCAATAGCAGTAGCCCCGTTTGTCTGGAAAAGAGTACTCAAGGAGAAAAAAATGGGAGATAAATTGAGAAATGTAGATTGAGGATGGACAGGAGGAGTTTGAACAGGTGAATAGGGAGGCATCCAGGAGCCTTAGCAGGTGAGGAGGAGGGGGTGATGCAATGGGAACTCTGGAGACGGGGAAGGGGGCCATGCCATCCAGGCAGAAGAGAGTCTTTGCCCACAGCAGGGGTGCTGACACTAGCCAGCAGAAGTCAGGAGAGGAGAGGAGAGAAGCAGAGAAGAGAGGACTGGACTCTGCCACTAGGACGCAGGCTCCATGAGCAGGGATTTTTTTTTTTTTTTTCATTTATTTAATGCCATATCCTCCGTGTCAAACAGAGTACCTGGAACATATTAGATGCTCAATAAATATTTGTTGCATACCATCGATTTAAGATAATTAAATCTATTGTACTTTGAAGAGAGGTGAGGAGGTGAAACCCAGTCTCAGAGCCTATATGAGCCATTACTGAGAAAAGGGAAAATAGGCAGAGGATTTAAGGAGGGGAACTTGGCTTTGTGTAAGCACAGGTGGGACAGCTGGGTCCCCATGGATGGTCAATGCATTTGGGAGTCATGAGGCATAGGCTACTGTAATGGGGGCTGTGACAGGTACATGTCGCCTCAGGAAAGAGGTGGAGGGTAGGGGACAGCTCTGGGGAGCACGGGGAGAGGAGAAGCAGGAGGAATTAGGCAAAGGAAATAAGAGGGGCTATTCCAGATAGGAAAGACCGCTGGGGACAGCATCTCGGATTTGTTTTTTTAATTCAAAAAAGGAGGCCCATAAATAGGTTCAATAAAGCAAATGGAATAAGGAAGGGGGCAGAGATGAGACCACTGGGCCAGGTATGTAGGATGCTGGCAATGACCTTCAAGTGGTGGGTGGCAGTGGACTGCAAGGGTGGGCAGAGGTGGGCTCTGGAGAGCAGCTGGCAGAGAAGACAGGAGTCTGCAATGCAGCCCAGGCCTCACGGAGGCCGATGCTTTGGAAAGGCCAAGTTCTTGGCCACACTTTTCTAAGGAGAAAGGTAAGCGCTTCATGGGGATGCTCCCTTGCTTTTTCTGCTTTTTGACGTGGCCAAGACAGAAAGAAGGTGGACATCCCTTGAACTCTGTCTCCTGTCCATGTCTGGGATCTGGGCTGCTCAAGGCAGGCTACATCACCTTCCAGCTCCAGGAGTGGCCAGGCAGGTCCTGGAGCAGCAGCCTGGCCCCTGTCCACGTCCCCTCCTCCCTGGCAGCAGGCCCTGGGCCTGGGCTGAGCAGATGGGCCCTGGTGACTCGGTGAATCGGAACCATGGGAAGCAGATGCACCCGCCATGGGTCCCCGGGCACAACTGGAACCTGTTGGGGGAGGGAATTTGCATAATAAGGATAATTTGGTACCAAAACT